TGGCTTTTCACAATTTTGACGGAGTTTTAAAGTTTTTTCCATGTTTTAAGCTAATACTTATATTCCCCTTCTTACCCTTTCCAAATTTTACAAAAGTCTCCCAAATTTTCACTTTTACATGGCATTATAATAACATACTCTGGAAGAAAGAATTCTAACATAGAATTATAGATGTAAATAGCTGAAATTCATTGCATTTAGTTCATTTATTTCACCCCAAATGAAACTTACTCCCATGGCAGGTCAAATTTAGCTCCAGGGAGGGAATTTCCACCCCCGTTCCCCCACTTTCATATCAATATTCAAATTTCAATGATCGGCTAATCAAGGTAATGACTAGTTATGACTATTGATTTTCTTGATTGCTGCTTCTAATGGCTAATTTTCCGGAGACATTTCAGATGTGTTTGTTTCGTTTTGAATATTTGTGGCTCTGATAATTCTATATTTCCACCAGCGATTTTTGGTACTTGTTGCAAACACATTGAAATTTAATATGTTGACCATAAAACCATTGCATCACTCATTTATTTTTTGATTATTATTTGAATTAATTCATATTTCTTTTAAAATTTCTTTGCTGAACTATATTTACAGTGTTCCTCCTTGTTGATCTATCATTATTAATTTCATTTACTATTTGATTAAAAATGTATTTTAATAAATGTTATAAATCGATATTATATATGTAGTGTTTGTATATGCTTATGGGCCATTATTTACTTATTTCTGAGGCGTTTCTCACTCTTACGGTACCTCAGAGAAGGCCCTTGGCAAGGAGTTACTGGAAGGCAAGGGGTTAATATCTCTAAAAAGACTTGTTTCTTGTCTGCCAACTCTATCACACTTGGATTGTTTGTATTTGGGTATGGATACAAAAAACCTTGTAGGATGTATGATTTTAATTCACAAGCACCAGGGCTGCAGAGTAAGGGTGAATTTGCAAACGACTCCAAGCCATTAAAAACGTCTCCAGATTAGGAGGAATTTAGAATCTGTGTTGATAGGTATTTCAAGTTCGACTCCAGCTCAGAATGACAAATTAATCAAGAGGAACTAACCCTAACTGCATGGCTATAACCTTATTTCTCCCGCATGCTTGGTAAATCTCCACTCATTGTGTCAGAGACAGTGGTATGAAGCGATATAGCCATATCCATAGGCCTCATTTTCTCAAGATTATCAACAATGCTTTTGATAACCTGGGCGCATGCAAGTCTTCTTTAATTGTCTGTTGTAAGAATGTTAAGTAAACCCATAAACATAGCAACAAACTCTGATTACCATCATTGAAAACATGAAATTACAAATAACACTCCATATGACTAATGGAACTAAAAGCAATAAACGACTTAATGTCAACCATCCGAGAACACAATAATACAGGAATCAACATCTTAATAACAACAATAATCAGCAGCATAAGAAAGGATTCATAGTCCTAATAAGATCGATGATCTTGGTTTGAATAATGATGTGCCGTGGTTTTGATTATACAAGTAGTTATTAGGTTATTTTTGTCTATACATTATTGTGCAGGCGCTAGTTATTCCTTTAATTCTATTGTTCACATCCTTCGGGATGTATTTTTTAGGTGAAGAATTCAAAATTTCAGTTCTCTGAGAAATGCCAGTTCGACTCCAATATCGATAAACACATACCTGAATCTCTTTAGAAACATCTTTAAATGTTAGTATACTGATGGATACTTGTCTAGCTTGGAGTGTGATGATATAAGGAGAAATGAACGATTCTAATTTGCCTTAAAAGTCTGTTTTGTTGATTCAATTTTGAATAATCAAATTTAGGCTTGTTACTTGTTTTCCTTGGACACACTCTTCAAAATTTTTTATCCTGGATTCCGTCCTTTTCTCACACGCCATAGCATCTCAGCCACAAGAGTACGTGGCTCGTCTAGTGCAGCGGTTCACAAACAGAGTTCCCCCAGCCCACACTCACTCTGCGATGTTATTTCATGAACACTTGGTTGCTCTGGTAATATAGAGTTATAGACCATACTAGTTATTGAGTGCGGCACAGAAATTAACAGGATTGTGTTAAACATAACTAAAATATGATTGAACATTTTTTATATTGTATTCATCATAAATAAAGCAGCATTTTTTAGTGTGAGTGCGCCGTGAGTTTTTTCCCAGATTATTTGGCACAGCGCGAACGAAAAGTTTGAGAATCGCTGATGAGCATTGGACTTGACCATGTTGGCATTGCTGATTGCACATTCAGGGTTTGAATACCACGCCCACTACCTCACCAACAACGCAGTAATTTGGGTTGGCGATGTCAAAATATAGTGGGTCTATAAAGACTTAAAATTTTATAAAAATCGCTAAGGGAATACTTAAACAACTGATTAAAAAAAAAAACTGGTAAAGATATATTGAGAACTGACTTCCTAACAAAATTGAAATTGTAAAGGGACTTTATGGACACGCTGTATGACTCCTTGTATATTATTAAATATCAGTAGCTGCTTATACGAGGCCTAATTGGAGTGAAAAGTGCGTGCAAACATTTGTTACCCTGATGCCATTTTCCCTCCATGCACCCTATTCTTTTAATTTAAGTATCCAAATAAAATATAAACATAATTTTATTAGATAGTATCAAAATATGAGGTTAGTTACAATAAAATACATTGGATGTTAAAATATATTCAAGAAAAGTAAAGAAATAGGCAATTTCAAAGAAAAACAAAATTTTTTAAAGCAAGTAGGGTTATTAGGAATAGTATTCATGGTTTAAAATGACAAACAATAATGGAGTAGGATGCTAGATAAATACTTTGGTGTAAGAATGACAAAAAATATGATCAGAATAAGTCATTATTATGCAATATACAACAAATGAGATGATTTTGAGAATATAATTGTTAGGTGCATTTAAGAGCAAGGTGGCCACATAACCAGCATTTGTACTTGAATAAATTTGAACTAGAGGAACAAAGCACTCAATCAGAAAAATTTATCAATGTGTGTTATTCCGCTAACGTTCTGGCTTGCACTGATACTTGTCGAATGGTCTAGTCGAGAATTAGCCGAGATGCGCAGTTTGGGTGGCGTGACTTCACTTGGCCACACACTAGTACAATAAGTTAAGCAAAGCTTTAAGCAGTATGAATAGAAGAGTTTAATATTGACAAGCAAAAAATGGTCAAATTCAAATTTTTAGAATGGGTATCCATGTTCTCATAGCAGGGTTGCTGCAAGCTGAGGGAAAGACACTTTAGTAACAAACCCTCCCAAGAATTTTGACATGTTATGAAAAGAATAGCATTATTAGATCAGTGCATCATTATGCAGTGGGTATTGAAATATTGGGTACTCCTAAAGTATGTGTACCAAGATGTGCAACCTGAGTTCAGGTTGTGCGCCATCCTGGTGCGCATACTTCAGGAGGTCCAAATACTGACTTATATATTATTTTGTAACGGTTATTTAAAATCCCAGGCATCAAACAGCACAGAAACAAATTTTGCATGCCCAACTATACACCAATTGACAACACAATTATATCAACAAATATTGAATATCAATTAATTCAATGTCTTGTGAAAGCCTGACTTATCACAGATAAGGCTTTGCCTTTGGCAAAGTTTTGAGCAGTAGAAAAAGGGCTGTTTCATAATGACAAAAAAATGGCTGAAGTAAGGTTCTTTGGTGCCTTTTATAGTAAGGTTGACGAAAGTTTGAAAATAACAAACAAAAATGGTCAAAGTGGGCTTTTAGGAATGAGTATACATGTTTTAAAGCTGAAAAAAAACACAAACACAGGTTGAGTACTTTGGGTAATTTGGATCAGTAATTAATAGTTTATTTTTTGCAATAAATAAGTAAAAAGCATTTCAGGGTGAGGGGAGTCGTGAGAAACCAAATTTGGTTATCGAGCAGTGGCACTCATGAACCTAGAGTAATGTCAAAATGGGCACTTTAGAATGGCAAACAATTAGTCATTGAATAAGCTTTGTAATTGTACTTACCGTTAATAATGAAAAACAATTGGAACATATTTAAGACTAGTAAAAGAGCCTGAGGCCTCAATTAGCTTTTAAGCTCCTCTAAACGAAAACATGTAAAATAGCGGTTAGAAGCATGCTCCATTAATTGTAATGATTGATATAAAACTAAGGCAAATGATTAGGAAGCATATAAAGTGCTTAGAGCAGTGGTTCTCAAACTTTTTTAGTCTTTTGAAAATTTTCAAGTCTTGTGCCTTGCCTCAAAAATAACTAGCTAACAATAAGCTACAAATAACAGAAAGTAAGGCGAAAGTAAGTATGTTTTATTCGAAAAACACATTGATGGAATGTAAATATCCAAAATAAAAAATGTTATTATCTAAAATAAGGCGGACAAGATCAAATCTAACAAATATTTTTATTTCTAATTAGCTCCACGTCCTCTCAAAAAAATTGTCAACGTCTGCGCCATTTGAGAACCGCTGGCTGGAGGTATATAGTATTCAATGTAGTAAAAAAATCGGTGCTCCCGAAGTATGCGAACCAAGATGGCGGACATCGGAACGTAACATGGGTAACAGGTTAGGGTTAGGCGATAATTTCTTTCCAATTTTCCTTATTTTAGTCCTATTATCAGTTCGAAGACTAGCCAAGAGCCTCCCGTAGTATTTATACCTAAAATTATGGCCTAACCCTAACCTAGTACACATATTACATTCCGATGTCCGCCATCTTGGTTCGCATACTTCGGGAGCCCCAAAAAATCTTTAGAGCGGTCCAAAAATATCACTTATGTGAATTCTAAATGTCTCGGTGGTGGCGCATTTTGTTAATGTGTGGCTTGCCATTGCCAATGATTACCAAACAATGTTTCACAGATTCGAATCCAAGAGAATGGTTCGACTCATCATTGCATGGTGATTTACGCAACAGCTGGACATTCACTGTAACTGGACAGAGGCCGTGGCCTTGTTATCGTTTTGTCAGCTTTCCTCTCCCCGAGATAAATACGTGCTAGCCTAATCTCTTCAAAGAACGAAAACAATCCATGCTATAGTAACTCAAAGCGATATTCTCCTTTCAGATATCTTTAGGCAGTGGAGAAGGCATAGGACTGAGTCCAGTAGAAGTTGTTGATGCTGTCTTATTCCTCTCTGTATTAAATTTATTGCGTTTGGTACAAAATAGTTTTTGAATTTCTCCCGTCCGTACGATGGTGAAAACAAAGATGAAGACTCCCTGTGAAATATAAAAATATATTTGCCAGTTGTTCGCAAATGTGACATATCCAAGTGCCTACACAGTAGCGAAATTTTCAAAAAAGAGAAGGGAAATTGCTAAGTTAAACCATAACAGCTATCGCAGGGGTGGACAAGGTTTTTAAACCAGGGGGCCAAAAATTTGGCCCACTTAGACTGAAGGGCCATGTAAGTGGAAGTGGAAAACAATAAGCCTCGTGCCAAAACTAAATTTAATCACAATCTCAATTCTCAACAAACTCCTTGAGCTATCATTTGGCTGAAACATCAAGATTTGGTTTTAGTTTGGTTGTGGCAGCATCAGGCGGGCCAGATTGAATTACCAGACGGGCCAGCTTTGGCCTGTGGGCCATAGTTTGCCCATGTGAAAGCTAGCGGGTATGCCTCGGATGCAGCAGGTTTTCAAGATTCTTCAGGGTCCACAAAGTGTTTCAAGTAATGAAAATTTTTTATGTATGATAGCAAAAATTCCCATTTTCATTTTTTTACATTTCAAAAGAGGGAGGAGGGGGTTACAACATAACAGGAACTGCTTGCCTTGATCATAGAATGGTTTTGAATAAAACTCACAAAAGAAAAAACATACTAAAATTTATTCTAAAACAAATAAAGTAAACATTAATCACCTGAAATGCATTTGCTACAGCGAACAGCCAACTCATAACTTGCAAATAAGTTTGATTATCGGAAAGTAGCATAAAGTAACCGATCACCCATGACAGTCCAACTGTTGTTGCCATGACAAGTGATATTGTCACATTTCGCTTCGTACTTTTAGGTGACGCTGATGATCCCACCTAGAATATGAAAAATTTTTATATCATATCAGGTCTAGGGAATCCATGGAAAATGGCGAATCAGAATATTAGCCCGCTTGCCATCAGTGCCACCGATTGTTACGCTGTGTAGTTCACAGAATGGAGTTCGGTGTAGGACAACTGTCGAGGAGAACTAAATCCTACAATTATCGTACTTAGTGGGGACACGTAGCACGTTGGTTTTCAACTGGGTTCCCAGCTGTAGGTGCACCACAATGCTAGGCGCAAAATGGATTTTACTTTTTCCTTGAAATAAATTCCTGTTCTTCCTAGTTTTGTGCTTGATAAGGTTATTTTACAGCGTTTTTCACTTTGTTGAGCTTGAATTGTTTGAACATAATGTGATTTGGAATCTATCAATCATAATGACACTATAAATACCACTGGAATGATAAGCAGGGGGCAGAGTCATAAAAGATTGGCAACCACTGCTCTATAGATTCACTCTTTTTTTGGACCTTACTAATTTACGCTTGCTTGTACACAGCCTTGCTTAGAGTGGAGATGAGGGAGCTGACTGGTAACTGACAGAGAGGTCGTGTTTGCAATATGAGTGAGCCATTCTATTTTCCTTCCCCCCAAAAAATAAAAAATTCAAAAAACTAACCTGCTTTTTGAAACATGTTATTTTAGGTATTACTATACAATATACAACAATGTTATAAACGAGTAACAATCCAACTGGAAGAAGGAATCCAAAGTATAAAGGAATTGTTCTGCAGCCAACAGAAGTTACGAGCGTTGTAGGATGAGTCGATAAAAGGATCGCCTGAAAAATACAGAAAATAGGATTTCATTTCGGGATCTAGAAGTTTATATGTGATATGTGATGAAGTTGAATTAGCGCACAATAATGTAATCAACGTGGCACAATCACTGAGCAATCTGAAGATGGTAATAATCGTGTGGCAATGCCAGGGTTTTGGTGCTTTTACACGGCTTTGAAAGGTTTTTGGGAGCTTTTCACAGGTGGTGCAAGGTTTTTGATGTTTTTTAACAGTTTTACACATTTTTGCAAGGTTTTTGGTGTTTTTTTGTTTTTTTTGCACAGTATTTAAACTCTTCAAGAGAACATTTCTTTCAAACACTGTTTGGATTCGAGTATACATTCACTCCTCACAGCCCTGATGCTAAATTAGTATTCATTACCTCCATCGCAAGCATATGTTGTGTACTGCTTGTCAATATGCCCGAGTGTAATCCCAGCGTTCAAGGCGACAATCAGCGCGGGGATTCCATATGCAACTACTGCTGCAGCAAACATATTGTAACGTTGACCTCTGGTTTCCATCACCTGAATGTCAGAACATAATTTTAATATTTATCCAGACGAAAGGAAAGCCTAAAAGACAGCTTAATTATATGTAAATCAACTACTGCTCATTAGGATACTGGTCCAGACCGGGTATGTAAAAGGATATTTTTACTAGGCTGTCATTAGACATTTATGTAAAGGTGCAGTGTAAACAGGTATAACTGACCAGAAGTTATGTGAGTAGGGCTGGAAATTTCAGGGAAAACACTTTAACCGTTAATCAGCTAAAATTAACCGGTTAACCGCAGCATGACGATCACATAATAATTTACAATTTCGTGTGATCTCATCTCTGTATCTCTCAAAATTATTCATGAATCGAGATAGTGAGCCATCCTTTGATGGCAACGAGTCCACATTTGGACAATGGTGTAAGAATAGGATATGATTCAAATATTTATCCCGGAGAAAACAAATCCGATAAGACAGCATAATCATTTTTGGATCAAACTTTGGATGTTTGGAGAAAAGGAAAAACGAAACAATTTGAAAAACTTGGGACTTCGAAAAAATAAATGTACCCACCTTTACCACGTCCCTATATACAGTGTGGCTATAGATCGCCATCCAGAACCATGCCGCTAACAAAGCATAATGCAATAGGGCGGCGAGTATCGAACACCCGATCTCATCATTAGCGGCGTCAACTCCAAACATGAAAAGAAGGAATGAAACAGCCAGGCATCCACATATGTTCATGATCACTTGCATTGGCTGTTTTCTTCTAAGACGCCTGAATTAGAAAACCGGAATAAATTTAGTTAGATAGGATAGGATTTACATATTTATCCCGGGGGAGAGGAAAGCCGATAAGACGGCTTAACCATATGGCGAACCACGGCCTCTCGTCCGGTTACCATTCCAAGTCGGGTATGGGATTAGTTTTACAGTATTGTTTGTTTTCGGAAGCATGGACTTGGTGGTGGAGGAAGCCGTAACCGACCAGCGGTTACGTGAACCACCCAACGACGGCGAGGAGTCCAGCAATCCTCTCGCACATAACCATCCCTGCATGGGATTCGAACCTGCGAACCCACGCAGAGTAGTTAGAGGTGCGGTGGCGAGCGTATTTCTAACGCTTAGCCCGTTGAGCCACACCGCCGCGCCAAGAGGACCAATGCATTTCAATAGTCCTGCTACATGCCAACGCAAATGTATTTCTGTAATGTTTCGCCTGACCGAGATCACACTTTCTCAGACAAGCAGTTTACTGAACAGTCACAAACAGATATCTGAGGAAGTCTGATTTTGAAGCAGGACACTTCAATTGGATAGAATAGTCATTTTTATTTCTGCTACAGCATCCTTGCATTATACGCATACGGATCCACTAGCATAAAGGCATAGAGGAAGGATAGGGAACGATGGCTTCTAAAGCGCCCAAATGTGTATGAGGTAAAAACTTTAAAATGCAACATTAGGTTATATGGTAGCTCCATTGGACATAAAAACTGTTTTCTTAGCAGGAAGGGTATAGAAAAAGATTTTACATTTATTGGAAGATGAAAGCTGATAAAACAACTTAGTCATATGGCAAACCATAGCCTCTCACCCGTCCATGTCGGGTATGGGATTAGTTAACCAGTTATTTGTTTCAGATACATGAACTTGGATGATGAAGGAATCAACCAGTGCCAGTCCATGATGAAGGGGAGCACAGCAATCCTCTCTCACATATTTATCCTGACAAGATTGAACCTGCGAGCTCGAAGGAAACGAAAGTGCAATAAAAGCAAATTCCTTCCAGGATTGTATTGTTTCTAGAATATAAAACTGGGTAACTATTTTCATACCCGACATGGACATGGCTTTCTCCACTCCCATCCATGCTCCCGAAAACTAATAACTGGCTATCTAATTCCATACCCGACATGTAATGGTAACCAGATGAGAAGCTGAGGTTTGCCCTATGATTGAGCTGTCTTATGGGCTTTTCTTTCTCCCGGGATAAATATTCAAATCCCATCCTATCATCTTAATATTCACTATTCGGTGCTCCCGAAGTATGCGAACCAAGATGGCGGACATTGGAACGTAACATGGGTAACAGGTTAGGGTTAGGCGATAATTTTTTTCCAATTTTCATTATTTTAGTCCTATTATCAGTTTGAAGACTAGCCAAGAGCCTCCCGTAGTTTTTATACTTAAAATTATGGCCCAACCCTAACCTAGTACACATATTACATTCCGAAGTCCGCCATCTTGGTTCGCATACTTCGGGAGCCCGCACTATTCTACAGAAAAACTTACTTTGAAAATCCCACAACCAGTACAGTACAGATCAGACATATTGCTGACAACCCGCATCCAACATACGTTACGATTGTTATCGCTATGTTCGATCCAATCTCATCCTTGCTCTGAAAGACAAAATATTTTTTGTTATATTTGCTCAACTTTGCGAGTTTCAAAAATTTTGATTTAACGAAACACAAATGTGCACAAAAAATATTTCCTAGCGCAGGGGTTCTCAAACTTTTAGTGTTATGGGGTCTGTGAAGATATTGACTATTATTTACGAAGTCGCACAATTAATTAGCCCCACGAGTTTGACAAACATCTTAATAAAGTAGTGTTGAAATGTGGCAACAAGGTGGTTTTTGAATTATGAGATTATTTATTTGAACTTATAGGGCCATATTCAAATTAACGCTACCATTGTAAAATTTCATTGATGGGTGCTCCCGAAGTATGCGAACCAAGATGGCGGACATCGGAATGTAATATGTGTACTAGGTTAGGGTTAGGCCATAATTTTAAGTATGAATACTGCGGGAGGCTCTTGGCTAGTCTTCGAACTGATAATAGGACTAAAATAAGGAAAATTGGAAAAAAATTATCGCCTAACCCTAACCTGTTACCCATGTTACGTTCCGATGTCCGCCATCTTGGTTCGCATACTTCGGGAGAACCCATTAATGTCGTTATTGCTCTTCAGAAAGTTACAAATTCACCCAAGTCTGTATTTAATGTGTAAGTGAATAGCTCATGAAGCCCCTAGGTTTCTCTCGCGGAGCCAGCCCTGGGATCCGTATGGAGCACTTTGAGGACCTACGGTATGTCATAGCGTATAGTGTTAACACCTTTTTCATCATGCCAACATTGAAATAGCTTATTATACTAACACAGTACTTGATCTGGCAAGAAATTCACGATGTACCTTATAGTTGAACCACTTATAAAAAATGAAGTAAAAAACATAACGAGTTGTACTTACCACCAGAAGAGCAAAATTAGTCAGATGGTTACAGTGACATTCAGGAGGATCCCCAGGTATCAGACAGCATCCATCACGAGACCACCATTGCTTGTCAAAGTCCCAGAAGACACATTCAAGATTAGTGATGTCAGTCTGAAAAAATATAAAGATGAAAAGTTATATACAGGAAAACCAAAAAAACACAGAACCCGTAAATCTCTCAATTACTTCTACGATGATTAAGAAAATTTATTCAACACTTGATCTCCTGTACGTGTATTGTAGTACTGAAAAGTTTCGGTTCCATTACATTTGAACCCACGTACATTTGAACCCATGACAATTGCACCTGTATGCTATTGCACCTTTGGAATTTTTTTTGTTTCACGGATAGTTAAACCCATACTAACCCTAACCCATGGGTTTTAGCACCCGCATATAGATTGAACCCGTGGATATACGCATGGGTTCAAATGTACATGGGTTCAAATGTACGGTCACCAAAAGTTTCAGCTGTATAGCTGTATGGACGTAATAATGAAGGCAATAAGTAACCATTTTTGAGCGAAGTTGCTCAAAGCAAATTTGATTTTCTACAATGTTTGAAAGTCAGAGATAACTCAAAAATGACCCTTAACAAAATACGAGTATCTTAATCTATTCCTAAAAGTAGGAAAAAGTTTAAAAGTGTGGGCGGCGCGGCGGTGTGGCTCAACGGGCTAAGCGTTAGGAATACGCTCGCCACCGCACCTCTAATTACTCTGCATGGGTTCGCAGGTTCGAATCCCAGGCAGGGATGGTTATGTGCCAGAGGATTGCTGGACTCCTCGCCGTCGTTGGGTGGTTCACGTAACCGCTGGTCGGTTACGGCTTCCTCCACCACCAAGTCCATGCTTCCGAAAACAAACAATACAGTAAAAACTAATCCCATACTCGACTCGGAATGGTAACCGGACGAGAGGCCGTGGTTCGCCATATGGATAAGCCGTCTTATCGGCTTTCCTCTCCCCCGGGATAAATATGTAAATCCTATCCTATCCTAAAAAGTTTCCTAAAAGTTGACCATAGCAACGAATCTCACAAATTCAAAACATTTTCAAATTGACAATTTGCATTAGACATTCTTTGCCCATGCTTTTCCAAGAAATTTAAAACTTCTAAATCACCTTGAATTCATCTCTCTGAACTTTCTCAGGTTTTTCATCGACTTCTCTGTTTGTGATGACAACAGGATCAATCAATCTGATGTTGCTTAGAGATGATTCTTTATCTCCAAGACTGCTTGCTATTACCTGGGAAAAGTTGAATTTTGATATATTAAAATTTACCGTATTTGCTCGTTTAGTAGCCCGGGCCCAAATTATTTTCAACCAACTCACTAAACGGGCCCTTATTCAAACCGGCCCTTATTCAAGCACGGGCGCTTATTATTTTCGATCGTTACAATAATTAATATGTTGTTATTTCCAGTTCTCAAGTATGATTTAAACGAGAATAACGAAAATTTTGACTTTTTCTACGCACCGCAGGTACAGATCTGCAAAAGAAGAAAAGTTTTGCGACGCCATATCAATATTGAAACGACGCACTTGGGCGTTGCGACGCCCAGTTTGAGAACCATGGTGTTACGGAAACAATGCCATCTGTTATGTACTTGGACGCCTAAGGCGTGAGTGTTATCTACTGGCTCTTAAAATTCAACAGCTTTGTGACAAAAGCGCTTCTTATTTCCTATTGCTCTCTACCACTGAAAAATCAGCTTTTACATCGGCGGGTATTCAAGCACCGGCCCTTATTTATTTTTATGTTCTGTTCACACGGGCGGCTATTCAAACGGGCCCTTAATCAAGATCGGGCGGTAAAACGAGCATATACGGTAATTTACTCCTCATATTGAAAAATGATGTATGAGATTTTGTGACTAGAACTTCGTATGCCACTCAGATGACTCAGTATGGTTCTCACCCAGTACCATACTAATCGAGCCACTCGGATGTTGATCTGAAAGTTCTTACCCAGTTTGTATCTCTACTTGATGGGAAGAATGTGCTGTTCCGATATCCGACTGATACAATTCTGACAGACGATGTTGCACGTTTTGATCTTGGTGATGAAGAGGCTAAAAAAGACCAAAATTACAATAAAATAGTGAGGGCTCCAGTATACAGAGACACAAAATTCATAGGTCATATAGATAAGCACATCTATTTTGTGGAAAAGCATTAAACATTAGATGTATGATGTCATTGCAGGTTGAAAATCTCAGGTTCAAATTCCATTCCTATCACCTCATCCAGGACGTAATAAATTTAGTCCAAGTATATATACATATATGACTTACCGACTGCTGCAGCCGCCTTAGCGAAAGCTTCTCCTGGAATCTTTATTTCAATCGGTGAAACAATTCTTCCATCAGAACTTCCAGAATAAAAGTCAGGGATGAACGTTATAGATGTTGATAAGCTTTCAGCATCTGGGACATCTTGTACCTTGAAAATGAAATGAACTGTATTTGGGCTGTGTGTCAAGGTGCCTGACACCAGGATATACTTCCACCCCGCCCATTGTGTAATAAATTGTGTAGGCAATGCTAAATTGATAACGGTCCTTCCATCTTCTTGCGTAGCAGTTGCTACCTGGCCACAGTGAAAAGTGCGTGAAACCTCATAAAATTTAATCTTTTTATCATGTTTTCTTTTGCACAGATTATGTTATGAACATCGTGTCGTAACAGGCAGGCTAATTATAAATAATAACTGGATTATCTACTCTGTGATTCAGCCATACATTGGCTGTCATTATGAACCTGAATACTTCACCTCATTTCCCTCATTTCATGCAATGAATCTCCATCTAAAGTATTTAAAATCTGGCTTAACAACAAATTTAAAAGTACAAACCTTGATATTGATATCTTTACTAATTGCAGTAAACCCAGATGTAGCGTCTGCTTCAAGCTTTCTTGACAACGTGGTCAGTGATTGGACGAGACTTTGTTTTTGATATGTTGTTTCTGATGTTTCTGGTTATGAAATAATGTTTTGAGATTTAGGATTTACATATGTATCCTGGGGGAGATAAAAGCCACCACTAGGCGCCTGAATCATATGGCAAACCGCGGCCTCTTGTCCAGTTACCAGTTTCATGTCGGGTATGGAGTTGGTTAGTTAGGTATTTGTTGCAGATGCATAGACTTGAGGGTGAAAGATCTCTTAATCTTATGTGAACCAACCTACAATGGCGAGGAGTCCAACAATCCTGTTGCACATAATTATCCCTGTGTGGGATTCGAACCTGCGAACCGCAGCGTGATCAGAAGTGCGAAGGTGAGCGTATTGCTAACGCTTAGCTTAATGCACCACACATGAGCAAAGCTTCAATAAGTACTACTTTCAATATATAATTAAAATCATATACAGGTATAAATGGTAAAGATGTTGACAAATTGCTCATATAGTGATGGAATTCAAAAATTTAAAAACATGTTCTTTTTTATCAAACTCATTAACAACACATCATCTCAACATAGTTTGTTAACATCAGCTTTGACAGAAGTTAGGATTTTATGCTTGATGGGGAAAACTCCACATTAAATGGTGAAATAAATTTTGAAAGTACCTTGTTGTCCTGACTGTGCAAAATACTCAGACATGTGACTTGTAATTTCTGCAACATTCCCAATATCAGTATTTGAAAACTGGAAGAGAAAAGAAGTTATAGCATGGAATACATAGAAGAGGTATTAAGAAATCAGTAACCAATAGGGCTGGGCATTTTCGAATACCTTGTGATTTCAGAATCGAATCGAATAATATTTTTCGAATCGAATCGAATCTCGAATACTTGAAAATATATAATTGTAAGCGATTTTATTATAGTAATTGGTCCTCTCAACAAATGAATTACCTAAGACATAGAATAAATCACCCATAAAGATTAATGAGCGCTCACACAGAATAACAAACACGTTTTATCGATAACTCACTACAGAAAATAGTCATATGTTAGTATTTCGTTGAAAAAATATGACTCCAATGAAAATAAAATTGGGGAATTCCCCTCGACCATTAGCGGAAAGACAAAAACAAGATGGCGGCGATTCGAAATTTAGCTCTGAACCGATTCGAATAATTTACTATTCAATTCGATTCGAATATTCGATTCGAAATGCCCAGCCCTAGTAACCAATCAATGACTCAGAGGTTTTGAATTCTCAGACACTTGTTAGAATTATAATTTAACACATATCCCTGCTTGATAACTAGCTTTGGTTCCCCCTACTTTCCTTCGGCAGTAAAACTGTAAATAACATTTTCTCGTCAATTTTGTACGATTTCTACTGGTTAGAAAAATAAATCATATGTGCCACGGGATTAATGAGTAGTTCCCCAACTATTTTCGTTAATTCCCTCTTTGACTATTTTGAAGCTCTTTATTCCTCACCATGAATAAACTTAATTTTCTTATTCAATTTTCACTGCATCTCCAGCTAGTATTTTGCACAAGTCATACTCTCGCTTTTGTTCAAGTAGATTGTAATATGTGCATGAATAAGTATTACAGCGATAATAAAAAACTAAGGAATATTTGTAATACAGCAGCAAATGCAAAGCAAAATTTCTCCTCAAGAATGACAAAATTCCTCGCTGGGCAGAAATTCCTCCCGTTTCTCTATGATAGCGCTATCAGATTAGGGACACGAAATATCTTAACACTTTCTGTACTACGGACATATATATACGTCATCTGGCAAATACCATTCAGTGCCACGAACGTATCTATATATCCCTGGTAGGGAAAGACGGCTCCAACCGGAAGAAATAAAAAAAATCTCATCTCAGTTTTCTCACCTGCAAACTGGCTTTGGAAATGCCCTCAAAATATTTTGTGATATCTCCGACATCTTCTTGATTTATTCCATCAACGTTAGATGATAACACTTGGAGGCGCTGAAGAGTATCAGTGACTTGTTTTGAAGAGTTATAAGGCTGAGAACACAACAAGAATTGGGGCTGGTTATGCAAGTATGATGAAACAACAACAACGCTAACAAGTAAATTACAATATAGAATATAAATGCAGTTGTTTTGAAAATGTTGTTCTTTGTCCGCAACACGGACTCGACAATGTGTAAATTGTGCTACGCGTTAGGTATACACTTGCCACCGCACCTCTGATAACCATGCTTGTCTTCACAGGTTCGAATCCCATGCAGGGGTAATTAGGTGCGGGAGGATTGCAGGACTCCTTGCTGCTTAGGGTGGTTCACCAAATCGGTGATCGGTGACGGCTTTCTCTACCATCAAGTCCATTCATCCATTTCAGATGCAAGGACTTGATAGAGTAACTGCCATATTATTAAGCCAGCTGATCCACTTTCTCAGTCCACCATCTTATCAAATTTCCTCCCGTAAATATGGAAGATCTTATTTCTAACAATCCCACCTGTGATGTCAAATCCTTAATTGTCTCTCTGCAGTCGGTCCGGACCAACGTGTCAGGATCAAACCTTGAGGAATTTGTTGAAGTTGACACACATGAGACTGATGCGATTGGTCTGCTGGTATCTGTATAAGTAAAAACTAATATGAGAACTAGAGCTGCGTGCAGCTTTAACAGGCTCCCCGCGTAAAAAAAAATTTGCATTTTATTGCTAGCTGAGAACTTCTGCACATTTGAGGTGAATTTCAAGTTTGTAGGACCAATTTGAAAAAATATTAATAATAAATAAATAATAATAAAACACAGGAATACAATAGGTTCCCTGCTGACAAGCAGCGGGAAGCCTAATAATAAGGGATGATGATAAGATGATACACCGAGATTTATTGATCATCCATTCCCCGGTAAAATTGTGATTAATATTTTTTCGTAATTTGTAAAGGATTGATTTTTCTTTACTGGTTGAAAAAAATAAACTTGACTTAGCTTGATATAGCATATAGAGAAACCTAAAAACAGCATTGAGACCACAACATAATTCTTGATAATGAGCAAACCACCGTGTTTTATTTTTTATACCATGAAGAAAAACCAAACCATGAACAAATAGCAACACTCTGCCCGAGTGCCGACAAAAACAGAGAGAGAGATAAAAAATTAACAAGGGAAAAAATGAAACAAAAAATGAATTTCTTGAGCAAGCCCACCTTCACACATCTGTACAGAATATGACACCAAACCAGGGAATGATGCAGGGAAAGTGAAGCCATCAATATCTTGAAGATCACATGATCCTGCAATGAGAAGATGCATTAGCTGGGTTTACAGACTTCTTGGACCACAGACATAAAGGTGGCATGAGATGATTTTGGGGTACTCCTGAAGTATGTGCACCAAAATGTTGCATAACCTGAACCCTAACCTGGTACACAACCTGAGTTCAGGTTGTGCGCCATCTTGGTGCGCATACTTCAGGAGGTTCGATTTGGGTTATGAATTTGATTTTCAGTCACCTTGGTAATTGTTCAACATAATGGTAATATACGACAACATATGCATTTATATGACATTTGGGCATACACACTACAGTGGTACAGATAGCCTGTCGGAGTGAGATATTATTGAAACACAATATCATGAAGTCATCATTTCATTAGGGCTGGGCATTTTCGAATACCTTGTAATTTCAGAATCGAATCGAATATTTTTTTCGAATCGAATCTCGAATACTTGGGATATATTTTATTGTATGCGACTTTTTAGTGTAATTGGTCCTGTCAACAAATGAATTACTAAAAACATAGAATACATCTCTCAGACAGATTGCTGAGTGACACAATAAGACACACTATTTATCAATAACTCACTACAGAAAATAGTCATATGTCAGAATTGCGTTGAAAATATATGGCTTCAATAAAAAAAATTGAGGAATTCACCTAGAGTCTTAGACCACAGGAAAAAAACAAGATGGCGGCAATTCGAAATTTTGCTCTGAACCGATTCGAATAATTCACTATTTGATTCGATTCGAATATTCGGTTCGAAATGCCCAGCCCTACATTTCATCTTACGCTCATTCACGCTCTCTACCCCTAAACTGTCTGTGCAATATCTTAGATGGAAGGTTCTCAAAATTTTGGTGTTACGGAGCCCCTGAATAGGTTAACTATTATTCACGAAGCCCCACAAATAAATTTTAAAAACAAAGCAAACAAAACGCACAAAACCTACCGATTAATATCCCTGAGTAAATTAAAATTACTTTACTTTATTTTAAATACTAAACCTTTTTATAATAGGGTTAAAACAAGACTTAAATAAATCTGAATTTTACAGATAAATTATATATATATACTGAGGCTGTAAATTTGACACTTGAAAAACATACTAATAAATTGGAATGAATTGATGTTTTTGGAATATTGAAAAAGTCGCTAATAACGTGCTCAATTGCATTTTGTTATGCATGTATTGTTCCACAAGGACGACAATAATTACTTTTTGTGTTGATTGAAATTTGAATCAAATTTGTTGATTGAAAAGCGGTATTATAAAATATTAAAACTAAAACCTAAAACGGAAGATAATACCATAAGTTTTGTTTTAGCAGACTTGCGACAGATCATAAACGCTTTTTTTAAACGTTGTAGATCAAAAAATTTGATGTTATGTTAGGTTTTCTTTGGAAATCATACTATAGTCACTGAAATCGAAACACAATCAATTGTGCGCGCGCTTTTATCCATTCTGAAACTACCGAAGGACCCGCACACGACTTTTTTTCGGTATGTGAGGCCATATGAGATACTTAATAATGTAAAGTATATCAATCAATTTTTATTGTAAAATTAAATTGAACACAATTGAGTTGATAAACAAGGCATTTTAAATATGCCCGCATCGGTCATAGATCGCGCAATTGTAAATTGTACTTAATGAGATTTTAACGACAACATTGGGATTTTAGCAGGGGCGATGATATCTTGCTCCAAAATATTCTCGAGTCCTAAAACAAATTGAAATTTGACGAATCCTAAGAATAGTAATCTCTTATTTTGGTAATCGAAACAGTAATTTCGACTCAAAGGTGAGTAACGATGAACACGATTAAATTATTATGACAAGACATTTTAAATGCTCGCGTTGACCATGGATTGAATATTTTACGCAACAGGAAACTCGTTATCCACTGATAAAGTCTTTTTTTTGACGAGTGACAGTAACAACAGCTTTTTTCATAACAGTGATGACTCAAATTATTTCAAGTATCTTACCAATCACAATGCATGGTTGAGATTTACCAATAAATAGCCAGTCAGTATGTTCCACAGCTTTTTAAATTGGGGTGGATTTAAATTTAGGGAGTGGTGGTAATTTTGTTAATAATGACAAAACTTATAAAAATGTGTTACTCATTTAACTGTCCATCTGTACCAGCATATAAACCACTTTCTGGGTATTCAAATACAATTTTATGCATGTTGAGAATCAAACTGTTGTAATACACCTCAGCGGTGTTAAGATAACGGGGAAGTTTGAAATGTTTAGGAAGAAGGGTGTCCACCCTACATACGGGAGAGAAAATCACTAAAGCTAGCTGTTAACATGTCAGTGCTACCTGCAACTTCGCTATCAATGCTCTTTCCACCTTCAGTTTGGGCTCGAGATGAGGAATTCAGGCAGACTTTTAGATAAAACATATCACCAACCTTCCATTTCTACTGGGAAGCACAGCCTTCCACAACCATTATAGCAGCATATCTCATTCTCACTGCAACCTGTCCGTTCTGAATCCATGCATTCATTGACACAGACTGCACCTCCATCTAAGATGGTTGGACAACGAGGGTCTGTAGAAAAGTATAAATCGCTTTCAAGTTGATGAATAAAAGGATTAGAAGGAATTTTTATATTTTTATCCCTAAGGAGAGAAAAGTCTGTAAAATAAGGATAAATTGGCATTACTAAAAAAGAGAGTAATACACATGATAGCTAATCTATGATGAATAAATTTGTGCCCACGAGAATTATGTACATGGTGATTGATGTTCTCCTTGTTATTGCTGTGCTGGTTTCGTCTTGCTGTATGGTTCACTATTCCCTTAACAGACTTGGACTGGATAGAATAGGATTTAAATATTCATCCCGGAGGAGAGGAAAGTCGCCATAACCATATGGCAAACCATGGCTTCTCGTCCGGTTACCATTCTATGCCGGGTATGGGATTAGTTAGTTATTTGTTTTCGGAAGCATGGACTTGATGGTGGAGGAAGACGGAACCGACCAGCGGTTACATGAACCACTCTATGGCGGCGAAGAGTCCAGCAATCCTCTCACACCTAACCATCCCTGCATGGAATTCGAACCTGTGAACCCACGCAGAGTGATCAGAGGTGCGGTGGCGAGCGTATTCCTATCGCTTAGCATGATGAGCCACACTGATGGCCTGGTAACCGGACAGAAGACTGTGTCTTGCTATTTCATAAATTTGTCATTGTATGAATAAAATAAACAGTCTATCAATTAGAACAGTCATATTTATTCTTGCCACGGCATCCTTGCGTTACACGCATACGAATCCACCTGTGCAAAGGCATTGAGCAAGGCTATTCTTGCGTAATCTCGACTGATAATTAAAAGAAACAGTGCTAATATTTTCATGGAAGTCAGGAAGGCTGTGGTTCACCATATGATTAAGCCAACTCATCAACTTTTTTTTCCACATTTATACTGTACATAGAATCTCATACCAACCTTGAAACGTAATGCAAACTCTCCCACAACCGTTATAACAACAATATTCCCCTGCCCTACAATCTGATGACGTATCACACTCCTGGACGCAGAAGGCTACATCGTCATCTTCTATAGCAGGACAGAGAGGATCTGGGAAATCGAAATGGACAAGAATGAAAAAACGGAAGGGGTTCGGGCGCAAAATATTAACAAAACATGGTTCTATCACCACTTTCATTCACTTTGAATTCGAAGGAGGCATTGTAAATTCACTATGAACAAGACTTGATGCAAGCATCCATCGGCAATTTAGGAACTTTTTTTTTTATAAAGCAGGACAAATAGGACAACTCGGTACTCCTGAAGTATGCGCACCAAGATGTCGCATAACCTGAACCCTAACCTGGTACGCAACCCGAGTTCAGGTTGTGCGCCATCTTGGTGCGCATACTTCAGGAGGTCCGACAACTCTGATACAAGCAGGATGCGTATGGGACAAGCGTGAAATGAGCAGGATATTAGGAGGCCTTAACAAGTATTTAATAAAAATTTAATCAAGGAGGCATGATATTCTAATATAATTCAGGCTTCTCTTAAAAGTTTATTATCATGGTATGCAAATAAGAAGCATTGGTTTGAACAATTTCTACCTGTGCAGTTCTTTCCATCTCCAACTAAACCAGGTTTGCAGCTGCATGTGTGACTTCCTTCAGTATTTGTACAATTCGCTTCCCGATCACAATCGTGTGTTCCATCAACACATTCATTTACATCTAAATAAATAAGAAAAAACTTTTAAACTGGTATTTTTATCGAGTGCTTTTTTATATATTTAGTTTCGCATAAATATAATGCTATCATATTCATCCCGAGGAGAGGAAGTTGACCAGACTAAATTCAGTGACCAGGCCATCGACAGTGTTGGTTGAGATTCAGTTGAGATTCCTTAATCGCAAGTTAAAGGTCAAATTCAACACTATGATTGTTTACAGTCGCAATAGTTCTTGGAACCAAAGTGGTCAGTCGCCCATAACTTGAATCAGAGATCAGACCTTTGTTTTTAAGTGAATGCGGATGAAATTTCAATAATGAATTTCCTTATAAAATGTCGAGTTTACCCCTCAGGTCATCCAAGTATTGAGTCTAGTCAAATACTGGATCAATCAGTTAGCATTTTTTGTTAACACAATATATAGACATCATAAAAAATAAAATATAAGACAAATTGAATAACAGTAATTGTGTGACAGAAATCGCGAGCCAATTTATTATTGTTGTTGGTTAGTAGATGATAAGTCGCTGCATTTAGATGACATACGGATGGGATTTCATTTTTTTTTGGGGGGGGGGGGGAGTCCAGGGTGTGAGATTAGTTAGCCAGCTATTTTTTTTTGGAAGCATGAACTTGATGGTGGAAGAAGCTGTTATCGACCAGCGGTTATGTGAACTACCCTACGGCGGCGAGGTGTCCAGCAATCCTCTCGCACATGATCTTTCCCGCATGGGATTCGAACCTGCGAACCCACGAAGGGTAATAAAAGATGTGGTGGCGAGCGTATTCCTAACGCTTAGCACGATGCACAAACTATAGCCTTTCGTTCGGTTACGAGACCCTGTCAAGTATGGGATTAGTTACCCTGTTGTTTGGTGAAGGAAAACATAGCCAACCAGCGTTATCATGAATTATTTACTAGATTAAATCTTTGATGAATGGTAACACTGGGTTTGAGATCAATTAATAAATATCCAGAAAGGAATTTAATGGATTAAATACGAGAGTCAACAAGGGCCACACTGAATGGCTTGGCGGATCGCGTTGTGACCACGGGCCACCTGTTGCACGCCCCTGTTATGTGAGAAAGATAAATGATTAAATAAAGCCATGTTCTACCTTTGCAAGTCCTCCCGTCACCAGAAAAACCAGATTTGCAAGTACATGTGTAACTTCCTTCAGTATTGGTGCAACCAGCCTCTTGATCGCATCCATGTGTTCCATCTGCACATTCATCAACATCTAAATAAAAGGGAGAATCTTTCACAATATGATAGAACGGGGCTCCCGAAGTATGCGAACCAAGATGGCGGACATCGGAATGTAATATGTGTACTAGGTTAGGGTTAGGCCATAATTTTAGGTATAAATACTACGGGAGGCTCATGGCTAGTCTTCGAACTGATAATAGGACTAAAATAAGGAAAATTGGAAAAAAATTATCGCCTAACTCTAACCTGTTACCCATGTTACGTTCCGATGTCCGCTATCTTGGTTCGCATACTTCGGGAGCACCGATAGAAGTTTCATATTTATCCTACACACATACACACACCATATAGAATGGGATTCTCATATTTAGAATGAAGAGCACAAAACCATAAGATGGTTACAGCATGTTGCAAACCATGGCCTCACCCCCCAATTACCAGTACATGCTGGACATTGGAATAATCGACCAGTTATTTATTTTAGATGCATGGACGTGATATACACAAACCAAAACAATACATACATGTGAACCCAGTGTTCCCTCTAAAGTCTGCGCGTATAATCGAGTGTGCGCCGCGCCGACACAGCTTTCAGAGGCCGCGCACAAGCATAGATTCACTGCGCACAGATATTTCGATGTAATGTAGCCATGTTCTCGGTTGGCAGGTTGAGAAAGTTTGTTGTTAGCCCTCTTATTACCCGGTTAGAACGCCAAAATTTCTTCATTGGTTTTTGCACAAATATTAGTCATTTCCAAAAAAGTGCGCACACACCAAAATTTCTGCGCACACATACTACAAAAAATTAGAGGGAACATTGATGTGAACACAATCGAACACATACATAGAAACACATACACACTTATGTAGACCCACACAAACAAACATGTATACATATACATACTTAAAGGTGCACACATACTTAGACAAGTTGTCTCATTCCATATGTAGGCCTATCCTTGTTCACATCCACAATCACAAATTTCCACTTTTAGTTGAAAGCCCACCCACACTCGCACAAACTCAAATGTTAACCCACACACATACACAAGCACACACACATATATACTCCCACTAACATACACATATATGTACATGTACACACACCGTAGTGCCACAAATACACACATGGATAAGGTCACACAAACACATACATTTATACAAACACATTTTTACACACACGAGCACACACATTTATACACCTGCGTGCAATACACATTTTGCACGCTTATAAACAAGCACACACACAGACACATGCTCCCACTAACATACACATATATGTACACACACACACACTAGTGCCACAGGCACACACATGGGTAGGGTCACACAAACACACACATTTATACAAACTCATGTTAAACACATTTTTACTCACACAAGTATACACCTGCGTGCAATACACATTTTAAGCACTCATAGACAAGCACACACACATGTATCCATTAACATGCACATATAAATACACACACAACACAATCTTTCTACAGACAAACCTGCACAAAACGTTGCTTTCCATGTGTATCCTTGTTCGCAAGCGCATCCATAAGATCCCTGGCTATTGATGCAAACCTGTTGGTCCCCAGCGCAAGAATTCTTGGATTGACACTCATCCACATCTGAAAAAGTTGTTTACTTAAAAGTTTGATTTTATTATCATTTTTTTACTCAATATACACACATGTACATATACACGCTCATACACAATCGCACACACACACACATATAACAGAGACGCACATCACAAACACAGGTACATATACACGCTTCCCCACACACACACGATCATGCAGACACAAATACATACGCATAACAGAAGAACACACCACATATAAACATGTGTACATATACACGCTTACACAGACACACACACAGATAGGTACTCGCACTAACACAAACATACATACTCACCCACTCATAAACACCCATAAACATAGACACACAGATGTACACACACATACATACGCACATACACACTCTGAAAGCCCGTAGGTCGTAGAAAACAACTGTATTTTTAACAAGTATCACGGTGCACCAACCGCACGCAGATACTCAAGTACACATACATACACATAGACACACACAAGCACGCATACATACACACATAACACTCTGAAGCCCTTAGGTCATAGAAAACAACTGTATAATAACAACTATCACGGTGCACCAACCGCATGCAGATACTCAAGTACACATACAGACACATGGACACACACAAGCACACATACATACGCACATACACACTCTGAAGCCCGTAGGTCGTAGAAAACAACTGTATAATAACAACTATCACGGTGCACCAACCGCACGCAGATATTCAAGTACACATACATATACATAGACACACACAAGCACGCATACATACACACATAACACTCTGAAGCCCGAACTAATGGAGTTTATATCGCCACAGACGTACCGTTACAATCGTCCCATTCCATGTGTATCCTTGTTCACAATCACATCTATAAAATCCTTGTGTATTGACACAAACTTGATTATCTTCAGTGCAGGGGTTCTGGGTTTGACACTCGTCCACATCTGAGAAAGTATATTTTTTTAATATTGAAATCTTGTGTGAATAACTGATGATTTCAGAATCAAATCGAAATTCTTTTTTAAACCAAATCGAATCTCGGATACTTCGAAGATATGTAGTTGTAATGACTGTTTCATTGTAATGGGTACTCCAGACACATAAATTAGTGAAAACACATAATCTATTACTCAGGCAGTGATTGTGTTCACACACAATAGAACACATGTTTCATCGATAACTCACTGGGAAAAAAGAGTCATATCTCAGAATTGTCAATTGCATTTTAAAAATTTGAAACAAATAAAAAAAAATAAGAGATTCGTCTTGACTTGCGGGCGGACAAAAAAACTAAATGGCGGCGATTCGAAATTCCAGTCTGAACCGATTCGAATAATTCAATGTTCGATTCGATTCAAAATGCTCATCTCTAATATGCAGTCCAGTACGGGCAATGTGGTTCGGAGTTTCCCAGTTATTGTGAGGAACACACGGCTGTGGAGTCAAAGTTAGGCTGAGACGACTTATGCTATAAAACCCGAATCTCCCCGTAATCAGAGCTGGGATATGAGTTAAAATTTTCCCAGCGCGTAGTCAAAAGTCGGGGAAGTCTCAACGACTTTGCAACCCTGGTGGGAAATACCCTTTCAATTTAATCTCTAACGTGAAATTCTACCCAGATAGTTCTGAGACAAGTTCTGAGACAAAAAAATTATGCAAAATATCAAAATAAAAAGGGTGCTCCAGAAGTATGCGCACCAAGATGTCGCACATCCTGAATCCTGACCGGTACACACATACTATGTTCAGGTTGTGCACCATCTTAGTGAGCATCCTTCAGGAGGTCCTAAAAAAGACACCTAATTAAGTTCATGTCGAAGGTTGAATATTATCAGTATAAAAATTCCAATGGTAGAACTTTCCAAGTGAGGAATATTCCTAGTACGGTTGTTACCTTCACATACAGATCCATTCCCAAAATATCCGGCATTGCATTGACAATCGTAGGATCCAGCGAAATTGAAACAAGAAGCGAACGGACTGCAGTTGTCAATGTCAACATCGCATTCTGAAATGTCTGAAAATAATAATAATAATAACGCAATCTAGTGATTTTGTTCACAATTGGGAAAATGACTCGGCGATTTGGCTCTTCGTGATGAGTGTTGAGTATACGCTCGCCGCCGCACCTCTGATTACACTGCGTGGGTTCGAATCCCACGCGGGGATGGTTATGTGCGAGAGGATTGCTGGACTCCTCGCCGTTGTAGGGTGATTCACGTAACCGCTGGTCGGTTACGGCTTCTTCCGCCACCAAATCCATGCATCCGAAAACAGATGAAACTAATCACATACCTGACATGGACTGGCAACCGGACGAGAAGCCGTCTTATTGGATTTCCTCTACCTACAGGATAAATATGAAAATCCTATCCTAAATCTGAGTAGTCAAGCAATATCTATAGTCCATATTAGAGGTTATTAAAGTTTTTTCGGCAAATGGCTGAAAAAAGTATCTTTTTTTTCGAAATGCCATATCATATACTTGCTGAACCAGAATGATTTCGTATCTTCAAAAAATATGACGTGTTACCTGTTCATTTCGCAATTTTATTAAAATTTCAGCTTGCGAAATACCGCAAGATACGTAAAACAAGGAAAGAATGGATGAAAATTGAGCCCTTATATCAAAACTATCTTGAAAGTAAGTCAGAGACGATCGCGACAATCTTGTGTTACTGGTCATCAATCGTGGATCATTTTCTACCACTCTTTGCTCAAGAAAAACTGAAAAGCTTGGCTACGACATCCTCCCATTTTGAGAGGAAATCTGTACAAAGCCTTGTTCAGAGTGCACCTGCAAAACACTTTAAAAGAAAAACAATCTTATGTCCTCTCCTGTCTGCGACCTTAGTTCCTACTACAACATCGCCCCCGAAAGCAGCAACAAAACAATTTCTCTGAATATCTATACTGGCATGAGAAAACAACATAGAAAATACTTCTAATTTCTCCTATAATGTAAATTATTTTACCTGTACAAGTCAGACCATCACCAGTGTATCCCAGCACGCAAACGCATCCGAGGTTCCCATTCCCGAAATCTTGACAATCTGCATTTTGATCGCATTGCGTTTCAGTACAAGTACTTCCTGTGAATACAATTAACAAACGATGAATAGTTATTATATTTTAGTAAATGTTTTCCACATTCTTTTCGAACAAGACGCCAGACAAAGTAAACCGTTATCGATACGCTGAGTTACAGTTTTCGAAAGGACCACGGAGCGAATTTGCAGTCTACGTCGTAGGCAATGCAGAACCAAAAAGATATTAGTACTCTCAAGAATAGGAGCTCTCTACATATGAGCGGCTTATTGGACACGTAGTGGACATAACGATCGTTTCAATATTATGTTGTTCTTGTTCTTGTTGTTATTTGACACAGAATAACACACCTAGTGAAAATATTAAAAAACCGCTTTTCTCTTCGAATACTGGACCAATTGCTTTGAAATTTTCAGTGGTTGAAGATAAAGTTTTTCCCCAGAAGGCTATTACTTTTATTCATTTTAAATATACCTGTTAGCTCTGTGAGATTTGTTTTTGTTTGCTATGACGTCATTAAACGTTCTGCGGGCATCGGACGCCATTTTGTGTCCTACTGTACTGCTTCGCTTGGTGTGAATATATTTATAGACTGTGATCTGACGGTACGGTATACCGTACTGTACTGCGAACAGACGTGTCCATATATTTGGGCGTAGCTCTCTTGTTACTTATCGATTTTAATCGGTAAGTATGTTGATAGGTATTTGTCTGTATGTCTGTTAGATACACGCGATATCTCACGAAAGCGAGATTGAATCTGCTCCAGATGTGCATTCATCATATCCCGGACCAGAAGCCTATTGATTTTGGGCGAATTATGTCGTATAATTAGCGAGGTATTAATTAATTAGTGATGGGACACAAGGTGTCACTATGGAGTAAGAGCGCTGTTTTTGGGATCCCCTAACTTTCGATCAATAAGTCTTCGGTCTCTGACCGATATTCTCGTTTTTTTACTGCCTTCACATCTATCGCGTGGTGTCTTTACAATTCCAAGTTCTAGTTATTTAAAAAATTCAACGACATGGTACCAGAAAATGTGACATCTTACTACCCGTTTCTCTTTAGCGAGGGGGGAATTCCCCAGTACGCTAGTATCCACAACTAGATATATTTTATCGTCATATTTTACCTGTAGTTGTCGGGCTTGATGTTGGAGGCGCAGTAGTATCACTAGAGGTCGTTGTTTCGTCTGGTGTGGGAAGGATTAATGCTGAAATAGAAAAAAGGATAAATTTATTGGACACGTTTAGTGGCCATAACGATCGTTTCAAAATTTTGTTGTTATTGGACACGAAGTGGACATAACGATCGTTTCAAAATTTTGTTGTTATTGTTATTTGTCTCCGTCTCCATTTTTAAAAAATCGCTTTTCTCTTCGAATACTGGACCAATTGCTTTGATATTTTCAGTGGTTAAAGATAAAAGTTTTCTCCAGAAGGCTATTACTTTTTTTTTTCGCTATAACGTCATCAAAATTATTGCCACTGGGTGGCGCTACGTGTCCATCTATTTGAGCATAGCTCTCTTGTTTTATTACATGTTGGGAACAAGCTCCCAGATCCCAAGCAAAGAAAAGTAACGAAGAATTTTAATCTCGAATGAAATCTCTCAGATGATAAGTCGAGTCCAAAATCGAATGATGAAAAGAAAAGAGTAGTATAAATGGATTAAATTACCAAAATTTCATTTTTTCATGAGGGGTTATAAGTCCCACCGGTGCTCCTGAAGTAAGCCCACCAAAATGTCGCACAATCTGAACCATAACCGGATACACAACCTGAGTTCAGGTTGTGCGCCATCTTGGTGCGCATACTTCAGGTGGTCCGTCCCACCGCCCCCTATCCCAAGTTGAGTTGACGTACCCCGAGTTCCGAGCAGTGGTGTATCTAGAGTGTGGCAGTCATGGCTAGTGTAGTTTTTTTGTGTAGGTTAGTTAATGACTCGGGGGATATTTTTGAGAAAGCTGACTTCAATCTAGTTCATGTTGTGCCAGTGACTGGAGTATCCCGTACACCGATAACTGATAAACGACAGTACGACAACTCAACTCCGCTACATTCTAAGCCCCTTCTCAAATCTTCTCGATTTATTGAGTTTATAGAATGCACAAAGCAGGCGAGTAAATAAATATCCAAACAGACCTGCTCGTTCGTTTGCTACTTATTGAAAAGAAAACATTCCTGTTTACCTAAACCAGGGTGAGCAACCTGAGGCCCGAGTGCCAAACGCGGCCCCAAAGAAAACACTCCTGCACTAAACTAGAGAGTAGAGTAAATTATGAAGTGCATGCATATTTACTTGTTCCAAACTTACATGCTTTGGCGCGTCGGTGTGGCTCAACGGGCTAAGCTTTAGGAATACGCTCGCCACCGCACCTCTAATTACTCTGCGTGGGTTCGCAGGTTCGAATCCCATGCAGGGATGGTTATGTGCGAGAGGATTGCTGGACTCCTCGCCGTCGTTTGGTGGTTCACGTAACCGCTGGTCGGTTACGGCTTCCTCCACCATGAAGTCCATGCTTCCGAAAGCAAACAATATAACTAATCCCATACCCGACTTGGAATGGTAACAGGACGAGAGGCCGTGGTTCGCCATATGGATAAGCCGCCTTATCGGCTTTCCTCTCCCCCGGGATAAATATGTAAATCCTATCCTATCCTGATAATCTTAGCCTAATAACTCTTTAGGAAAATGTGACTGTTACCCTACTTACGAATAACATGAGTTGACGGTTCCTGAAGCACATTCTTCGCTTCGCCTATGAAGTAGGATACAGTGACGGTGTAAGACACACACACATTGAGTCCACATATTTTAGCTGTTGCATCTGACGTAGTTAGTGACGTAATTATATTGGTGACGTTTGCAGGACCGATGCTGACTTCAACCTAAAATACAGAGTTACCGAAGTTGAATTTTAGATTTTGTAACTTTTGAAACTAACGACTTTCTATATTATAAATCTTGACGTACTGGTCTTTACTAACATTAACACGACACAACGCACGACAATGCGTTACTTGAACTTGTTTTGAAGATCATAACGCAGCTGAGTGTCCGATATTGTCAGTTGTACTTCTCTCGCGACATGAACGGTGAAATAAAGGTACTCCCGTAGTATGTGAACCAAGGTGGCGGACACCGGAACGTAGTATGTGTATCAGGTTAGGGTTGCGCTATAATTTCAGGTACAAATACTACGGGAGTCACTTGGCTAGTCCCTGAACTCGTAACAGAACTAAATAAAAGGAAAATTGGAATAAAAATATGGCCTAACCCTAACCTGGTACACATACTACGTTCCGGTGTCCACCACCTTGGTTCACATACTACGGGAGTACCAAAATAAATGTGTTGGCCAGAATCTTCCTAAAGTCTTTAAGTCGGATTCTTTATCCTGTGATTAAGTTGTCTTATCGCCCTTCTTATCTCCCGGTAAAATATGATAATTCCTATTTCATTCTTTCTACTTACCAAATACTCGAGAACGTCCGGCACTGGTGTCCATGTTATTTCCATACATGACGATCCAATCGCAGACTGACCTAAGAAAATAAAAACATTGGTCAAATTCTAGGTGAACTACCAGCCTCATAGAACTCTGAGAAAGTTTGAAAAAAAATTTATAACGACCTAAATATCGCCGGTTAAATATATAACATCGATCAGAGATTATACTCTATTTCAGTGGCCGGCAAACAGTGTGCCGCGTCCCAGTCGTAATACGTTTAAGACGGTTATCTCGCAGTCTTGTGAAACTATGCTACAAGCAGACTGGGTTAAACCATTATTTGCTAGTCAGATGGCCTGCCGACCAAATACAAGGATTTCGCAGAGCACATGGGTATTTACAGTATTATCTTATTTGGTAGATTCCAAATCACATCCAGGTCATCATACTGAAAAGGTCGGGAAATTTTCTTATAAAAAGAAAGGCGCTCCCGAAGTACGTGCAACAAGATGACACACAACCTGCACCCCAACCTCGTACACATACTATGTTCAGGATGTGCGCCATCTTGGTGCACATACTTCGGGAGCTCCAAGGGAAAATATGAAAACGAAAATCGCGACTAGTATTTTGGGCCCAATTCATCTGCCCCGATTGGGAACCACTAATAGTTCAATTTTCGTCCAAAGATTGTCAATCTATGTGTTTATTAGTGTTAAAAGCATAATATTGTCATTACATTAGTTATTTAGCCGGTAGGCAGATCGAGGTTAAAACCATAAACGATATTTTACGTCAATCATTTCACGCAGAACGGATGTTAAATGTAGTCAAAATAAAAATGTGTTGTCTCGTGATTGTTCCAAGTATGCGGTGTAGAACATTTTATATCTTAATCTGGAATGACACATTGTGCACAGCCGCGGTCGTCAACCTACGGCCCGCGGAGTATTATAATCCGGCCCGTGACGCTTCACTGAAATATAGTAACAAAACAGCCGTTTTGACGATTATATTTTCTAAACCAAATTATTTTATAACCGGACAAGTATATAATTCACAATTAATCGTTTACTGGGCCTATAATTTAATTATAATTAGACAAATGGCAACAAATCGCAGAAAAGTTGATGCTAAGTGCAAAGGGTTCAATGGCGCTGAAAATATTCAAATGGGATTTTTTTTTAATGCAATGAGGAAATAAATCTATATTATATTCGAGAGATGTATGACTGCTTGATTTTTATCATAAAAAGTATCATCCGTTTGGTTTTCAACTTTCTAAAAATATGTGCGGCCCACCAATGACTTGCAAGTTGCAACCCTTAGTTTTGGCCCGCGAGCGACAATAGGTTGCCGACCCCCGGTGTACAGTAATCGTTACTTTTATAACGAGAGAACGATGCTCAATTATATGAATACGAAGCCCGAAACAAGGTACTTTTCGAACCGTACCTCACTAACGGTATCAAGTAATCTCCGAGTTTCGCGCAATGTCGCGTGAAATCGGAAACAGCCGTCAAGCTTGATGGATTAAAAACCGTGTTCCCGTGAATAAAAATGATTCAGCGGAATATAGAATAAAATATCAGATCTCATAGTATTATAGGAAATTTAGCAATGAATAAGAGTATAGGCTTTCTAGCGAAAAATACAATCTCCAACCACTGAAAATTTCAAAGCAATTATTCCATTACTGAATGAGAAAAGCGATTTCTTTTTAACAACGAGAAAAAGAAACCAATAATATCAACAACAACAACAACATAATAGCAGAACGTTTCATAAGTCGATTTTGTGTCCAATAACAACAAATTTGCAAAACAATGTATAATAGGTTCAATTTGCGTCCAAAGATGGTCATGTATTTTTCAATGTTCTAAGTATATTTTCATTACATTGGTTATTTAGCTGGTTGCGGTTAAAAGCATAAACAATAATTTACGTCAATCATTTCACGCAGAACAGATGTTAAATGTCATCGAAATAAAAATAAGTCGTTTCGTGAAAGCTTAATTATGCGACATAGACCATTTTATACCTCAAAATGTGATGATACTCTGAGTGCATTGATTCGTTGCTTTGATATGATAGGCCTGCTTTAATTCTAAGCAAGAACAGATCTATGGAACGAAGTCCACACCCTACGCCAATGCAAAATATGTGAGATTTTAGAAATACTACCCCGCCACGTTTTAAAATAAAAAAAATTAGTAATTGTCCAGTTAGGGTTCGGGTTAGGAATGATTTGAAAATTTGAATTCGCATCGCAATTTGCATTCACAGCCCTATCTGGATAATATTGGGGTAGTATTTCTAACATTTTTCGGTGCTCCCGAAGTATGCGAACCAAGATGGCGGACATCGGAACGTAACATGGGTAACAGGTTAGGGTTAGGCGAAAATTTTTTTCCAATTTTCCTTATTTTAGTCCTATTATCAGTTCGAAGACTAGCCAAGAGCCTCCCGTAGTATTTATACCTAAAATTATGGCCTAACCCTAACCTAGTACACATATTACATTCCGATGTCCGCCATCTTGGTTTGCATACTTCGGGAGCCCCCATTTTTCCATTAGCGGCGGGGAGATTGTACAAAGGATCCACAAGAACTCCTAAATTCAAAATCCGTAACTTGCAATCTGAATAAAACCATCGCTTCAACCTTCTATCCAGCTTCAGTGAACTTGACAAAAATGTAAGTGACAAATAAGGAGCTAAACTTATGTTGATGTGCGGGAGCTTCTACTAGATATACCGAAACTAAAAACATAACGGAGCAAAACAAACCCCGAGGTATGGCTGTGTTTTATTATGCGCAAGGTTTTTTATTTGCAAATGTAAACATCGTAAAGTAAGTCCTCAATTGTCCTCAATTTTTATACATCGTGACAAAGTTGTTTGATGTTGAAAATCCAGTTTCATCGATATATCTGAAAGCACTTTGCACCCCCCGAGGCGGACGTGGGGGCTTTGGGGCGGCGTGGAGTATGTAGTCGAAGTTTATATACGGTTGTTCCTTATAGTGGTCTAATCCGTAGTCGTATTTTTAATTTCTCATAGTCGGAGTTGGAGTCAAAAATTTGGAGCTTCCGGAGTCCGGAATCTCAGACATCTCAAGGTTCGAAGTCGAAATTTTGAAAAAGATTGCAAACGTTTGAGCAGTCAATATTTTGTCATGAATATATATTATATTTCCGTTTGAAGTGTTTTAGTTTCTATTCATAGGAACTACAGCAATTTAAAATTTATTTTTACCTCTGTAGATTTATTTAGTGTCAGATTGTGCAAAACATCACGTGCGAGTATGACGCCATAATCTGTTGATTGTTACGACACCCACTTTAGGTGTTCCCGCTCCAGTGAACTTTCAATCAAGCGAAAAAAGTACGTGGGTGAGAATATTAGGAAGTATGGAAGTACGGGAGTACTGAAAAATTGATATCGTAGTAAAAAAACTAAAAAATTTGGTAAGTGGACACCAGTATAAACTAAACAAGTGAGCTATGCTCAAATATATGGACACGTAGCGCCATCCAATGGCAATAATTCTGATGACGTCATAGCGAAAAAAAAGTAATAGCCTTCTGGAGAAAAATTTTATATTTAACCACTGAAAATTTCAAAGCAATTGGTCCAGTATTCGAAGAGAAAAGCGATTTTTTTTTATGATAATGACGAAAGAAAATAACAATAACAACAAAATTTTGAAACGATCGCTATGACCACTAAACGTGTCCAATAATCAGATCTGATATTTTTTAATTATTCTTGACGAGCATACAAATTGTGATATGCGACATATGGTGACCGTACATTTGAACCCATGTACATTTGAACCCATGCGTATATCCACGGGTTCAATCTATATGCGGGTGCTAAAACCCATGGGTTAGGGTTAGTATGGGTTTAATTATCCATGAAACAAAAAAAATTCCATAGGTGCAATAGCATACAGGTGCAATTGTCAAGGGTTCAAATGTACGTGGGTTCAAATGTAATGGAACCGCGACATATAATACTATAATTTCTCCTCGTGAATATACAGGGTGTCCATAAAATCCCTTTACAATTTTAATTTTGTTATGAAGTCAGTTCTCAATATATCTTAACCTGATTTGTTGTTTTTTAATCAGTAATTGTTCAAGTATTTTTACTTCATTTAATACATCAGTGAGGGCCAAAACAATATATGGTATATAAATTCCAATATATGAATTCCCTTTGCAATTTTAAAACAATTGAAGACTTTATGGTCACCCTATATCTAACATTGATTTCGAATTCTATTTAAACCGATTTATTTTAACATCACCAAATCAAAATTGACGTTTGCAAAACAGGAAATATTCTATTTTGAAGACTTTAAATTCCCGAAATAAACTGAAAGTTTCAAATGTCCTTCTGGAATGACGAATATACTTTTTATGGATATAAATTTCCGTTGAAAAAATCAATGAAAGTAACGTCATAATGGCCCCTATTGTTGCACTGTGCCTTTCAGTATTATATAAACGTTAGCCTAGCTGTTGTAAATCATTAATCATTAATCATTAATCATAAGTGAAATACCGCGGTCAAATACACATCACGAAATATCGAGTCGCTCGGCTACCGAGGTAGCACTCTATTCCCAATTCTTAACAAGCCGTAAATAGCGACATATACTATATTTTTACTTCGTAAACGTTAGGTTTCACGAGAAAAATCGATTCGTGATTATATAAAATATAGGTACTCCTGAAGCATGCGCACCAAGATGTCGCATAACCTGAACCCTAACCTGGTACACAACCTGAGTTCAGGTTGTGCGCCATCTTGGTGCGCATACTTCGGGAGGTCCAAAATATATCTAGCATTAATTTTGGATTGCATTTAAACTAAATTATTTTAACATTACTAAATAAAAATTAACCCATTTGCATAACAGAAAATATCCTATTTTCAAGGCTCTAAATTCTTAAAATAAACTGTAAGTTCCAAATATTCTATTGCTGTTTAAAAACACAAATATTTATTTTTCGTTCTACTCGTGAAATGATTGCACAATTATGATGTTGAGTGTTGCAAAACATATTGAATAACACTCAACAAAGATTTTAAGCGTGTCCGTAAGTGATTTTTAAGCGTCTTTCGCTTCGAATATAGCTCTATTGAGCAGTGATATCTGATATGTTACAGCAGGGCTTGTCAATGTTTTAAGATCGCGACCCCTTCCAATATAATAAAATTTCTTGCGACCCCTTGTTCCGAGAAGGGTGATACGACGCTTACTCGTACCCTTTGCCCCAAACAAAGTCAGATAAACGTATCCACTGATATCTAACATTACAATATCTTAAAGAATGGCATAGCCTTCTTATGTCTTCTTAGACGGTATTGTAAAAAATAAAATGGAACAATATTTATAATAGCTCTGGGCTTTTTCATAAGCATTCAAATTATTGTTGTACATTCATAACGATGACGTCATCACTCCATTGTTTCGCTTCGATAACGTCATAGCGTACTATGAGGTATATATCTGATGATTCAAAACAATAAGGGGAATACCACAGTCAAGTAAACACACCAAGAGATAACCAAAAATAGACATTCAGACTTAAAAAAGTATTTATTATTTCCTTATCTAAACAGAAATAAGATATTTGAAACTTTCGATTAACACTAAATAGGATAATTCTGACCGAAACAATGATATAAAAATGCGTTAATTTTTCGCCGATCAAGGGCGATCAAAAATCTAAAATGTATGCTAATGCTATAAATAGTGAAAAATCTGTCATATGTTTTGATTTTGTTTGTTAATAGCCGAACAAAATTATTTAGTCTCAAATACGAACATTTCCGCTACTGATATTTCAAGGTACAAGTCTATAAAAAGAAAGATGATTGTTCTGATTACTATTTTTAACGTCTATGATCACAACACAGTCACATTACGAGCAAACAAAAAATATTTAAATCCGAAAAACCACGTATTATTTCTAGTTATAAACAGAAGTATGAGAATTGAAACTCCCGATTTATTTTTGGAATTTCGAAGCCTTCAGAATAATATTTTCCGTACCGGAGCACACTTATTTGAAAGCGATGAATTTACCGATCAGAAATTCCGAAAAAAAATTAGTTTGAACAAAATACTTGATTCTAATGCGATAAACAGGGTAAAATCTGTCATGAAGAGTAGATGATTGTTTTATTCGCGATTTTCAACGTTCCCGAGTCGCTGCGGGCCTAATCAAGTCACAACCTGAAATTAGACATTCAGATCTAAAACTATTATGTATTATTCCCGGTTCTAAACAGAAGTAAGCGAGTTGAAACTTTCGATTTTTTTTGAAGAGTTGAAGCCTTTCAAATTGTTTATTTCCCAACCAAAACACTGCTATAAAAAGGCGTTAAATGTACTGACTAAATATATCTATGAAAAGTAGACGTGTGTTTTGAACTCGATTTGTTTTCTACCCCCATCAATAAATTATTTCGTTTCAATGACGTCATATAGTACTATCAACTATAAGTCTGATGGCCCAAAAGGAAAATTACGTATCTGTATCACGATATCACGAGGTAACCGAAAATAGACATTCAGACCTTTATACAGCACTTATTATTTCTGTTTTTGAACAGAAGTAGGACATTTGATACTTTAGGTTTATTACTGCTAAACTGCTATAAAAATTCGTTAAATTTTTCGATAGAATACTAAAAAACTTTGGGTGCTCCAGAAGTATGCGTACCAAGATGTCGCACAACCTGAATACTAACCGGTACACACATACTATGTTCAGGTTGTGCGCCATCTTGGTGCGCATACTTCTGGAGGTCCAAACTTTGTTTGAACGAGAAATCAAATTTGTTGTAAAAAAGGTTATTTAGAACAGGGCTTTCAAAACTGGGGGTTGAGACCACGCTGGGGGGCGCGCAACGGATTTTAGGGGTCGCAAAGAGTACACCAATTTCACACAATGTTACCATAATCATTGTCATTTTTTTAGACTTTTGATTCGAAACACAATTATTAAAACTAGCGCAAAACATAAACACATGCGGAACGTTCCTCAGAACAGGGTGCCGCGAAAAATTCTAATATATTGGATATATATTGGCTCGCGATCTTAAAAGTTTGTGAAGTCATGATTTGGAATATATGTGAAAATCGAAAGTTGCAAAAACTTCTGAAACGAGAGTTTTACTTTGTTGAATCAATCTTTAAATGGGATGTTTTTTGGACGAACACTTTTATGATGGCGCATTAAGATTGCCGGTTGATAATATCTATACAATTAGCAGAATCAGAATTACTGCTAATCAAAAAGAAAGTATTCCGAAAATCCAGATTAAAGTGGATATATTTTCCTATGTAAGTTCTGACATTTATCGTTAAAATCGTTTGCTCATTTGTAGAAAGACTTCGCCAAATAAAAAACACCTCCATCCAAGTTTTAAAATGAAAAATTAATAATTAATTATCCGGTTAGGTTGGGAATGTAGATTGCGCTAAAAACTCATTTTTTTCAAGTAATTCTTAACCCTGTATACTAACTGGATAATTACTATGTTAATATATTATATGTTTTATGGCGCTTATAACCTCAGTGGTCTTTTGCGCCTTTGATCACTTTAAATTTAAAAATCTTATACTAACATATTATACAATATTTACGAATATATAATTATACAATTGAATCAATTACAATAGGTAATTTTTTCTAAATATTTCTGCCCGTGGACAAAACAAATTCGATAACAGTTTCAATAATGTGCATGTTACTAAGCACTTCTTCCAAAGTCATTTCCAGTTTAAGTTCTCTGGCTTTGCTAATGACTGGGATCCTTTGATGATTATATTGTTGACAATGCAATAGGTAGTGGACTACGGTCTCGGGTACGAAACACTGTTCACGACTAGTTTTTATTTTAAAATGCGGCGGGTGTGTTTTCTCAAATGTCACCTTTTTGCATTCATGGCGGGAGCTTTCTACCAATGATCCAAATGCTTACCATTGAAATCATAGCCAAACCTAACCTGCATGATAAAGCGGGTCTGGTATAGTTTAGTACCACATCCACTTCTAGTTGGCCTGGCTCAACAATTTTTGCATATGTCAATCCTAACCCCCACCTGACTACGTCACCGAAAAATTCTGTGACGTCAATCCGACGTCACAGTGGCGTAATAAGGCCCACCGAAGTATGCGGATGGTCGTCCAAAACGGGAGGACGATAACTCGAAATCGAGCAAGCTATTTCTCTCGTTTTCTCGTCGCAACGATCACGATAGGAGAGAGATCGCCGGCTTTAGCAAGTTCTTATCGGCGGCGCAGATGCCATTTCGGGCGATCGTAATTATACTTTGGCAATCCCTATGACGTGATGATGACGTCGTAGTTACGTAATTTTTGGATGGCATAGTCAGGTGAGGGTTGGGAATAACATATGCAAAAATCGTTATGCTACGCCACTGACATAGGCAAACTAAAGCCCGCGGGCCAAATCGTGCCCGTTGGGTAATTCAATCTGTCCCGCCCGATGCTGCGACAACCAAACTAAAACCGAATTTTGATGTTTCGGCAAAAAAATAACCTAAAAAATTTGTTGAATTTGTTTGTTGAATTGCGATTAAATTAAGTTTGGCACGAGGCTTATAGTTTTCCACTTTTGCTTTTGTAACACTGTAAACATTGTTCAAAAAATGCAACTTTTTACGTCACACTTACATGGCCCGCCAGTCTAGGTGGGCAAAAATTTTGGCCCTTGGTTCAAAAACATTGTCCACTCCTAGAACCTAAAGAACCCAAAGTCATCCTTAAGCTATCGTGAATCCCGATCACAAACAAGTCTCCAATAAAAGAGTCAAATTTTACGCGGATTTGCGCGGGATTAGAAAGTCGTTAAATGCCGAATTCGAATACAAAACATATCGCAATGCAACATATAATTTAGTGGTTACGAGATTTGAAAAGTAAACGATTCCCACAACATTCGATGAGAACGATATGGCTTAAATTGTCAGTTAATTTACCAAAATAGACATTTTGCGATTAAGCCCAATTCCATCAAGTCCATGCATTTGAAAACAAATACCTATCTAATCACATACCAGAAATAGACTAGTAACCGGATGAGAGGCCGTGGTTCGCCATAAGATTAAAACGTCTTATCGGCTTTCCTCTCCCCCGGGATAAATACGTAAATGCTGTTCTTATATATTTAAGCAAAAAAGGTCGCAGTGATGTTTTCGACGTACGTGATTACGATTGATCAACACTACAATACCAAATATAAAATAAACAATAAAATTAACTAGAGAATATTTTTGTCTGATAAACGTGCCACCCAAGAAGATTTTAACGATATGGTTTACTATGCTACAGCAACCCGTCGGTTACTTTGCTAAAGTGGACATTCTGCGATCAAGTCCAATTCCTTAAATTGAAGTGTGTGTTAAAAGCACCAAGTAATATTTAAGTTTAGATTTATACAACTTTAAATGAGCTATTATTTCCTCCAAGCAAATTCTAACCCGTAATAACATTCTATATTTTTCTATATAGAGATCAAGCAAAGGCCATAGAGCAGTGGTTCCCAACCCTTTTTCAAGCGATTCCTATTTAAATAAAAATACAGTAGTATCTTACCTATGGCTTCCAAAACTGCTGGATGGCACGTCGATATCTCGTGTATTATCGTGGTGTATGGTGACAAATTAGCAAACTCCCTAAAACAAAAAATGCGTTGTTCATTCTGAAAAATTTTCAAGGAAAGCAGGGCATTTTGCCTAATGAAATAAAAGTCTTAATCCGACTCCATCAGTTTCCTCGTTTGAGAATGAAAAAACATTCTCAGTGAGTACACTATCACTGCATTCTTTGTTTTCTTTCTCAAGTTTTGAATCCTTTCAGTCTTTTTTGGGTGCTACCTAAACTGCTGTTTGGTTCTTCCTCATTCAAACCAAAGGTACTCTCTGCATTGTGGTCAACCTCATCTGGATCGCTATGGTTAACAGTATTTTTAATTTAACGTTTTCAAGGAAGTCGGGCATTTTTGAAATAAAGACCTGATTTTAATTTCCTAAATGTGTCATTTTTATTTGTCTTATCTGAAAATTTTTATTTATTCAACATTTCAGTGGGACACTTGGCATCTCTAGTTCTTGCATTGTTTGTTAACCTCAGCTTTGACAAAAGTTGTTATAACCCTACTTGTCAAACATTATGCTGCTTTTAATGCTTGGTGGGGAAAATTCCGAGTATTGATAAAGGCCATGCTAAATGGCTTGGAGGGCCGGGTTGTGGCCCGCGGCGTCATATAACTAAGGATGCCAAGTATGAGTATTTACAAGTATTCGATTCTTATCCGATTCCTAAATTTTCGATTCCGATTCTCGATTCCGAATCTCGATTCCTCGACATATTACCGAAAAAATATACCCACCCAAGCAATACCATGTGAAATAAAGCAAGACAGCGATGTTCAAATTCTGGACGGACAAGAAGGCCGAAACTAAGTAGTATGGGTATCCAATCTGCCACAGGAGACAAAACCGCACAAAAAAAAACGAATCCCTCAGAACCCACAGAGATTTTTAAAATAAATAAACGTTAAAGCCTACTAGCGATATTTAATATATATACATTATATATAGTGAAGTTTGCGGTGTCGTAGCAACTCAACATAGCAGTGAAGCAGTTCATACATATATATGAAGAAATTGCCACAAAACGTTACACATTGTTTGCAATCCAAGTTTCAAACTCGAGAATCGATTCCGGTGCATCGGAATCGATTCTAGTCGATTCCGCGAAGAATTGATTCTGTAATCGAATCCAGACTCGATTCCGCCATCCCTACATATAACTGGGTAATTCTCATATCTGACATGGTAATAAGATTAAGCCAACTTACAGTTTTTTTTTCTCGCTTTCGACCCACCCCAGTCGGAATACGGCTAATACATCGGTTCCCAAACGCGTCATGTTACTAAGTGCGCCGCGAATATTAACAGAATTGTGTTAAACATAATTAAAATATGATTGAATATTTTACATATTGTATTTAACATAAATGTTCTATTGTTTCATATTTTACATGCTGTGTATATAAATCAAGAAATTCATTTCACCTTTCTATGACCGTTTTCCTTTAATCTTTAGGCCTTTATGTTTACAAACGTTACAAGGCATTAAGTACACATTAACGATTACAAAATTGATTTTTTTTTCAAGCAGCATTTTTTTTCGTGTGAGTGTGCCGTGAGTTTTTTTCCCTGATAATTAGACGTCGCACAAAAAAAAAGTTCGGAAACTGCTGGCCTAATACTTCGCTTCTCACAATTAATTAAAATCAAATCAAATTTGAAAATATTTCTTGAATAAGCAAATTATGATATAAATATATATATAAAACAAATTCCAATTTACCAACCTGTAATACGGACTGATAGAAAACTCGTATTCCGTGTCGAAATTGATAGGAAAAGAGAGGTTTCTCGTTGTCTGTAATAAAATACACATATTTTAGATCAGGGGTGGGCAACCTTTTTCGCACGCGGGCTAAATATCAATAACCGGGTGGAACCGCGGGCCGCACCTACATTTAACACAGGCTTTCTATTAGTTGCAGGCACAAAATGATGTCTTTTTGTTATTAATCTCATGTCATCATTAGGGGTCCTTGCAGAAATGACGAGTTGAAATGCATAAATTTTTTAAAACTGCAATTCAAATATACTGTCACAGCCAATTTAAACGAATTCAGTGAGAAATTAGCTGTTGGGTTCTTTTTCCGACTACTTTTATCCAAATTTGCCTAAATGGAAGTGCTAGCAATTCGAAATGACGCCCATTTTAGGAAAAAATATGTTACTGAAAAGTGCCATATTTGAAGCCATGACTTTTTCCAAATGTAGAAAGTTATCTTGGTTGAGATGTTTTCTGTAAAATACGCCAAGATTCATTTCAAATAATTTGCTGTCAAATCTCATTCTAGGTTGGATTTAGACAAAATTACCCGATAGGCTGGAACCAAAACTCAGTTAGCTTTGGTATCTTTTAATATTATTTTCTTTAAACTGCTCTGCAGTTGCCTCCGCGGGCCGCACAATTTTCCCTTGCGGGCCGCATTTGGCCCGCGGGCCGCACTTTGCACACCCCTGTTTTAGATCAAAGCAGTCCGAGGGACAACCTAGTAACAGAGTGGGAGAGGTTCATTTTCTAGAATTGTCAAAAGCAACTAATTATATCTCAAGAGACACTAAATTTACAAAGAAAAAAAAGGATCCATTATGTGCCAGAAAACGCCATAACTTCTATGCAAAATAAATAAATCCATTCTCACCGGTAAAACGGTTAAATGATAATTATTATTCGGTCCCAGTAGATCGGTGGTTGACTTGCACTGCACGGGATAGAAGAGCCCGCATTCAGGTTGCGGGCACAAACAGACATTTGTATTTTCTTGTGTTAAAAGCTGTTTGGCGCATTCAGGTATGGTATCATTCGTGTCGCATACGCTGGTCTCTGTCGTTGATATCCACATATGGTTTTCTCTGTTTAAAATGCAACATTAGTACTTATCGATTCGATTTTAATCGGTAAGTATATTAATAGGTATTTGTCCGTCTGTCTGTCTGTTTGTCTGTTAGATGCACGCGATATCTCACGAAAACGAGATTGAATCTACTCCAGATTTTGCATGTGCATTCATCTTATCTCGGACCAGAAGCCTATTGATTTTGGGCGAATTATGTCGTATAATTAGCGAGTTATTGATTGATTAGTGATGGGACACAAGGTGTCACTATTGAGTAAGAGCGCTGTTTTGGGGGATCCCCTAACTTTCGATCGATAAGTCTTCGGTCTCTGACCGATATTCTCGTTTTATTATTTGATTCAAGAGTTTTTCTGCACACTAATACAAATGCATTCCTTGAAACGTTACAGAAGTACATTTGCGTTATTATGTAGCAAGATTCTTAAAGTAAAATGTTCATCTTCACTCTTGCTACAACATCATTGATAAATACAAGAAAAAAAGTTAGTCTCGCGTAATTTTTTTATTTGGATTTCTAATAAGACGGTCATTGACGCCTTTCGCTTCGATCAAGGCCCGGTACAAGAAGCCACAGACATCCAACGATTTGTACGGATTGTAAGTGTTTCAAGGGTCTGGTTGCACACTAACACAAATATATCTCTGTAACGTTTCGCCAGAACAAAATCGGACTTTCTCAGACTTACAAGTGTGCAGCAAGAAATGTTTTAAATCAGTGGCTTCCAAAGCGCGGACAGCGGACCAATTACGATTCAATATGGCCCTCAAATTTAGGCGAAAAAGTTTGATACTTTATGTTTTACCTTTTTACGTTCTAGAAGCCGCAATTGTTACGTTATTTTTCACAGTTAAACACGTGTATATTCGCAACAATTCAATTATACTGGTATCTTGATTATAAGTAGCAGTATCGACCCTTGCATGGGCTTCCCCTCTCGCGGCCACGAAAATCCTTCCGCTTATAATATTGGCCAAGGCCAATAAATTTTTGGAACCACTGCTGAAAATATTCGGTTTGCTTTGAAACTCCTGCTTCAATCACAAACTTACTCCAAATCCAAGCTTGTACTATGCCTTATTCAGAGTTAAAACGCGAAGAAAAGCAAAATAAAAATAGAAGATTACATTAAACGGCGCTCCAGAAGTGTGTGCACCAATATGGAGGTAATTAATTTTGTTCGCCTACATTACATCAAGTTGTGTAAAGGAACTGAAACCTATGGACAGGGGGTATATTCACTTGGCTAACACAGACAGTCCCCGAACTCGTAATAGAACTAAAATAAGGAAAATCAGAATAAAATTATGGACTAACCCTAACCTGCTACACACACTACGCGCGTATCCATTGTCCAATCAAAACTTACCCCGAATGACAGGCCGATACAGGTTCAATTGAATGAGAAGTGATAGAATGATTTCGTTTTGTTTCTGTGTCAAGGAGATGAACAGCAAACCCATCAAGTTGGACATCTGTGAATGAAAGTTGTGTGTGAGGTTGTGAGTTTTAACAGGGGTGTGTCCAAAGAGGTGCGTGTCGTAATATACCCCAATTTTTAGGATGTGCACCAAAACAGTTTTCTATATGATACATAGCAATTTTTCGTAACTTAGAACGCTTTTTAGAATCTTTAATTAAAAGTTTCAGAATTCCCATTTGACAATTACCCTCAGTTTATAACTCAAAATGAATGCATAATGAAAAGACCATAATAAATACAATCGTGATGCTCTCAAACTAAATTTGAAATAAACGATACTAAACAAATGACTTTGCAGCTATTAACAGGAGTTTCGGTTCAATGAGCAATTTTTTCGTAATTGTGCTGCAGGAAATAAAATAAAGCACATAGTATCGCTGTAATGTCATTAAATGTAACTTCATTTGCCACATCCTATTTGTGGGAATTTCGCGGTTGCAGTTCATATTTCTCATGAATTACAAATCTCTTTAAACAAAGTAACATAATTTCTAATATTTCTTCAAACAATATTGATTCAAATCGCGTTGATTTAAGATGTAAACCAGGGGTGAGCAAGATTCTTGCACCAGGGGCCAAAAAATCCGCCCACCTTGACTAGCGGGCCATGTAAGTGTGACGTAGAAAGTTGCATTTTATGAACAACATTTAGAGTGTTACAAAAGCAAAAGTGGAAAACAATAAGCCTCGTGCCTAAACTGAGTTTTAATCGCAATCTCGACAAATTCCTTGAGTTATCATTTAGCTAAAATATCGAAATTTGGTTTTAGTTTGGTTGTGGTAGCATCAGGCGGGCCAGATTGAATTACCCAAGGGGATGGCCCGCGGGCCCTAGCTTGTCATGTTAGACCTAAAACTATCCTTTCAAGGTAAACTTACTGTTCGGTATACTTGCAACCCAGGCAACATCAGCGTACAACTGCAGGCTCTTCGGTCCTGTGATTTCTACGTGAACGTCAGTCGATAGAGTGAATGTGACGTCATAAACATCCGCTGTTCCTGCGGAAGACAAGAAAAGATTTTACTCACATTTTCCTGTATTATACATAACAATTTTTCCTGGCTTAAAACCCATGTTTTCCAGCCTCCGGCCAGAACCGCTAGCAGCCACGCCTACAGTCTAACTTGGCAATTAGAAATGTCAAATAAGCAACCGAGATGAATAAGCAATATCTGTAGAAATTTGTAAAAGGTTGCAAGACATCATGTCCCATATATTTTTGTTTTTGAGAAACAGAGAACACAGAGAAAGGTGGCGCAATAACTTGACTTGCTCTCGTCCACCAAAACATTTTGAGATGCGCTACAAACCCGAAACGCGGAGTTACCCAGAGTTACCAAAAGAAAAATAGCTTAGAACCACTGCCTATCATGACTTGAGATAGACAGAATTAAACAAAATTAAATTTACTTCTGGGTTTTATCAAATCAATCGAGAACTTTTAATTGTATGGATAGTATCAAGCGGTTGATTTACGCTTTTTAGACCCCAGGAATCTTAATAAAAACACGTTTTCAACCCGCCAGATGATACGGTCTTACTTGGCAAATAAAAATTTCATTCGCCCCATAAAAGGTCAGAGTCACTTTGGTCAAAGCCTTCACAACTACTGAGTGAGGTCGTGCGCCTTCTTTTGAGAAAATTCCCTTTAAAAGTGTAAACATGATTTAATAGGCCTGGGGTGCACAACACGGGGCACGCGAGCCAAATTTGGCACGCCATACGCTCAAACGTGACACGCGAACGGATTTGTAAAAAGAAAATTATTTATATACATCAAAATATCACGTTTATATCAAAATTAGCAGTTTTTCAGGACATTAAATTGTTTCAATAAATATATATTCGTTGTTATGTATTATTATTAAAATTTGTTTGATGTGTGTTTTCCGGGAGATAATTTACAATACCAACGATTGTGCATGCACGCGACAAGATTATTTTGCGAAATTTGGCACGTGTCCTCATTCGAGTTGTGTATACCCATGTAATAGGCCATGATTTCAGCCCCGGTCAGTCTGAAAAGCAGCTCTTTGAAATCAAAAATCTTCTCTCGTATATGGGGGTGCTTCGACAGCGCCTCGCTCGGAGAGAAAATAAATGACAATGGATTCAACTTACTGTTCCTACATACTCTTAGTTGTCCGTTTACTCCAAGTAAAAGTAATGTCCATATTGATATAAATCCAAAGTAGTATAGTGGAGGTTTCTTTGAAAGCGACATTTCAGAAATGTTTTAGTATAGAACTTATATTAATTATGTACTTGAAAAATATCTGAGAGAAAAAGTAAACAAAAGTAAAGAAATGAGTTCTTCTATTCCGTTTGTCTCATGATGTGTTGGAATAAGTTGAGGATAGGGTTTACATATTTATCTCGGGGGAGAGTATAGCCGGCTTAATCACGTGACGAACCACGGCCTCTCGTTCGGTTATCAGTCAATGTCGGTATGGGATTGGTTAGGCAAGTATTTGTAAAAAATCGTAACCGACCTGAGGTTACGTGAAACACCGAACGTATGACGTATGCTTGTCTCACCTTTATGTCTTGATAAGTTAAGTTATTGTCCCACCTTTCAACTGTAAAAACTGGGAACTATTATTTTATTATATTCTACTCTGATTCAGTGATTCTGAAGGGGTGACGTTAATAGGGAGGCTTAATTATTCTGCTGTTATTTCCTGAAAGCCCACTAATTATTACCTTGCCTTAATTACCTTACCCTAGTCTAGTCTGAGAAAGGCAACGAACGCTGTACTCAGTAAACCGTAACAGTCCGTTCAAGACGTAAACACCGTCAAAGTATCAAGTATTCTACTCAGTACGCCTCCTACAACTCTGACCCTAGAAACAAGCAAGAAAACGATTGTACAAGAGCTTTCAGTTTGAAACATGGATGTGGGACAATAACCTAATCTAACCGAAGGATTCGAAGAAAGCGCGTCAGAAAAGTTAGCAGCAAGATAATTGGCAGCCAAATAATCAGACAAATGTCTCACAACCTATCATAATTGATCACAACAAAAATACCGCGTGAGGACAAGTGTCATACCTTTGAAACTTCAAAATACCAATCCACTTTTATACTTAGTACATCTCGCTATGTTTCAAATACCAACTTATAGTAATTATATATAGTCATATTATTCCAAACTTTCCACTAATACCAGCTCAAGAATTCCATTCGTGATATGTAACAATGACGACAAAATATTCCGCTCAAAACATAAAAACCGTTTAAAACACTCATATTTTTTATATCTCTCTATCTTTGGTTGGGTGAGGATGAAATACATTGGTTAAATTTCTGCATTCTCAGGATTTATATTGGAAAAAATTATAGAATAGTATAGTACCACCCAAAAGTAAACACAGAACAACTCGTCTAAACGTAAAAACAAATTATCCATCCCGTTGTTGTTTTTATGTTTCAACTTGAAACTTTCAAGTACTAACTTATAGTAAAATGCGATCAGAATATCATCTTCCTGGTCGTATTAACATGACTGGATAGTTTCTGTATAGTCTCACACTTAATATGCAGATATTGGGTATCTCCAATGTTTGCTAATTTACGAGAGGTTTATAACAGAATAAGTAAAGGCGCTACCTCATTATCGTCGTCTCAACAACAAACTATACATAGGTAAGCTATACATAACTAAACAATACGACAACAACCAACTTAAAAGTATAAAAAACTATAAACTTCAAAATTGTATTCAATATTCTATTACACTCGGTACATCATTTTATGTTTTCATCTAAAATACCAATTCATAGTTCGACTCTATGAGAATCACGTCTCTGTTGTCAAGACAAACAATCAGATAAATGTCTCACAACCTACCACGCTTGACATAACGAAAAATAACGCTTCAAGACAAGTATTATACCCACCCCCACGCATGATCGGTGTAAAAAAAATTGAGAAAGCGAACCCGTGACTATGTAGAACAGCCGCGGGGCTTCGCGCGAATTTTCAATGAGATCTGTTACATCATAATACGTGAAATGGACCGGATCGAAAATAGCTGTGATTTATTGAAGTAAACATACCGTATATTTTATATTGATATTTTTCCAAATTTTTTTTATCGTTATATCGATATCTCGGGTTTCGGAACCACTACTCTAAACATACATATTGGTAGTATTCTGCAATTAATTTTTCTTTCTGTCGATATATGAATGTTACTCTGATTTAGTTCCTCATTAATTTTAATATGTCAGGGATAAGTTCGGTTAGGTTATAAATATTATTTTTAATAAAATCAATGAATGGCAGGGTCGAAACAATGTTTGAGGGTCGGACCCCTTTTGGAATGTAAAAAAAATTCTGCATCATACACAGCATTTTTTTTGTAGCTTGAAACGCTTTTTAGGCGCGCAAAAATCTTGAAATCCCATATTTTCCCGCCTCCGGTCGTACCCGCTAGCTGTTATGATCTAACTTGTCAATTAGAAATTTCAGAAGCCCTTTCCTGGGTACGCCCCGAGATCACACATATCGCATCAATTGAACGTGCATACACGGTGACCCAAAAAAACGGAACCCATAAATTTTCTAATTACTTCTTTGAAAATGGAGTCAATTATTTCATTTTGTTTACATTTTTACTTCTGTTTGTGTATGATCATACCCAAAATTATCAGTAATCTAGGACGTTTTACACGAAAGTTATGTTCTCTTCAAAATGCCTTCTTGGCATTGGAAACAGACTTGCATATATTGTAGTATGTGTGTATTGTATATTAAACTCTTCCTTTATCGTAATTTAAAGACAACAAAATCAAATTTGCTTTCCAATGCGCCTTGATTTGTATTAAAGAAAGTAAATAAAACGCGAGTTTGAAAAATTTGAAACCTTTTCGTGATTGGCTTAGCGATAGCTGAGATAAGCATCAGCGGTAGCGATATCACGAATCAGGAATAAATTTTCGGTCGGAATTTGTATAAAAATAATATTTACTTTTTCCAAAATTCCAGAAATTGTGTTATTCTAAACGAAATATGATTGCTACCTATTGCTTGCTGTTCGCTCATCAGAGCGAATGTTCCTCCCCGGTATTCTTTTCTCCCTAGTGACATTTTGTCAATTTTGTGAGCTATTTTCGCACCTTGCTATTGATGTTTTCTCGAGCATCGATTTCGTGGTTTATTTCCGCAGCAATGCCAAATCAGAATAAGTCAAAAACGAGAATATCGGTCAGAGACCGAAGACTTATCGATCGAAAGTTAGGGAGACCCCCAAAACAGCGCTCTTATTCCATAGTGACACCTTGTGTCCTATCACTAATCAATTAATAACTCGCTAATTATACGACATAATTCATCCAAAATCAATAGGCTTCTGGTCCAACATATGAATAATGCACATGCAAAATTTGGAGCAGATTCAATCTCGCTTTCGTGAGATATCGCGTGCATCTAACAGACAGACAAACAGGCAGACAGACAAATACCTGTCAACATACTTACCGATTAAAATCGATAAGTAATGACGTTACAAGGGAAATTTATGTGGCCGCTCAGACACTGCGATAGACTAAAATTAGCTATCGTTAACTGTTAGCGGCACGTGATTAAATGTTTTTAACAGGAATAATGGTATCGAACATGATGAACCTGTCAAAAGCTCTCCCGAAACACCTTCAAGATAATATCAGAGTTTACAGTAGTAAAGTATAAAAAGCTTTTCACTGGGGTCAAGGGTCGGACAAACATACATTCGTTCATTAGTGTCGACATTCTTCATCGGTATCCATTTCTCTTTAGTGACGTTTTCTTAGTTTATTTTAACTATTTTCACAACTCTGAACAACGTTGTGCACAAGCAGAAATTTTGGTAATTTGTTTTGTTTGATTCTTTGTGTTGCAAAACCTATACCTGAATCCAATTTAGTAGCTATGTATGACGTTACAATGCTATACAACTAGCTTTTGCGAAGCCAACAAATCATGTCATAAGATCAATTAACAAAATTTTTGTGCTCGCTACTAGAAAATACTAGAAAGCCTTTGCTAAAGGTGCGGCCCGCGGTTTCACCTAATTGTTTGTATTTGGCCCTTTCGTATTAAAGGTTGCACACCCCTGCTTTATGCGATTCCTTAATTACTGTGGCCCGCACGCTACAAGAAATGGGCATATTTGTGTAGTAGTGCATAAAGTTTGCCGAACACTGGTCTGTAGTCTTGTTAGAAGCGAAATATGAAAAACCCTAGGATAAGACTTCTATCAAATGCTATTTAAATATGCGTTTTTTTCTACAGCGTTTTTTGTCACTTTCACAGTCGAGTGCTCTTAAAAATGGGTCAAAATATGTTTTGAGTCCCACTGAAATGCGGTTGTGACGACAGGGCGTTTTTTGCGTGAAAATTCGAAGGAATTAGAATTGTAACCGAGATATGTGGGCGAAGTGGCATAGCGGTTAACCACTTGACCAGGGTTGTGCAACCTTCAATACAGGAGGACAAGATTCAAATAACTGGTTGAAACTTCGGGCCGCACCTTTATTTAACATAGGTTTGCTAGAAGTTACGGGCAAAAAATTTTGGTTTTTGGTATCATGACATGCGTTGTTCGTTTGCACAAGTTCTTGCGGCGCCGAGGCATTGAAATTATTTGCACATACTATATTAAATTACGGTAAATTAAAAACTTGTTCAAAAGGCACACCATTTAAAATTGCGACTTATCCGGGAAACGCACAATTTTTTTTCTTGTGGGCCGCATTTGGCCCGCAGGCCACAGGTTACTAGACCACCGTCAGTCAGTAGTATATTTTTCATCAAAAAGAAAATACACTTGATGCAAATTTTTCAAAATAATCTTGTCGCGTGCCATGCACAATTGTGGTATTGTAAATTAACTCCTGTAAAACAAACATACTGCAATAACAATACATAATAACGGCTATATATTGAAACAATTTAATGTCCTGAAAAAAAAACTGCTGATTTTGATATAAACGTGATATTTTAATGTATATCATAATTTTTTTTACAAAACCGTTAGCGTGCCTCTTGTTGTGCGCCCCTGGACTAGTTCACTGCCTCTGCGCTCATACCAACTCGTGTCTTCTGCACAGGCCTCTTGGCATTATTACATCACACAGGCCTATTACCCCCAGGCTATGAGATGTAAACTTGAGCTTCGTATAGGAACTCGCAGTACGATGATACATAGTTTTAATATTTGTTCAAGGGCGCCAACGGTTGACACTTAATTTTTGTAATTTGCTCAGTTTTGAGGTTGAAGTATTGAT